CTCTCACTCTCACTCTCACTCTCACTCTCACTCTCACTCTCACTCTCACTCTCACTCTCACTCTCACTCTCACTCTCACTCTCACTCTCACTCTCACTCTCACTCTCACTCTCACTCTCACTCTCACTCTCACTCTCACTCTCACTCTCACTCTCACTCTCACTCTCACTCTCACTCTCACTCTCACTCTCACTCTCACTCTCACTCTCACTCTCACTCTCACTCTCACTCACTCACTCACTCTCTCAACGACTGGCACTCTGTCTTTGATGTCGCTCCTCCAATGCATTTGTCGCCATGAGGCTTGGTCAGTGATTATCATAGAACCGCATTCTAGTAGTCGATTGAATGGATCCCATTACCAGTGTTTTATGTGCTTCCGGGATGGGGGCTTTACGACGAGAAACAATTGGAAATCCTCCAGGAGATTACTCAGCGAGTCGTTGCACATCGATCTACGCAATCATGTACTGCTTAGGATAAGCTACACGATATACTATATACTGTTGTTATATATCTGTTTCGCGATGCATCGGACGAATAGCATGTGGATAATATTTTTGTTTCATAAGTTTTGGCGTGCGATTGAACCGACCCCACCTGATCGCCCCTCTGACCGCCGCCGTGTCCCTCAGGTGCTGATCCCGCCCAAGGACCTGATGGCCAAGCTGGACGCTGAGGCCGACTCACCGGCCAAGGTGCTGGACCAGGTGCGCTACCGAGTCGAGTGGGACCGGGTGCAGGAGGCGCGCAAACGCCGCGAGGAGGAGGCCGTCGAGCGCGAGCGCATCTCGTACGCGCAGATCGACTGGCACGACTTTGTGGTGGTGGAGACGGTGGACTACCAGCCGTGGGAGCAGGGCCAGTTCCCGCCGCCCACCACACCGGCACAGGTCGGACAGCGCGTGCTCATGCAGGTCAGTGGGACGAGGATTGGTGGGAGGGATAGAGGGGTGGGGACGGGGAAGGGTGGGGTGAAAGGGGTGGGGACGGGGAATATGACAGAAGTGGGGACGTGGAGTGACGAGTGATAATTGATAACCAATCGAAGGGAACTGAGAGATTATGTAGTGTTGCAATATGAATGGAACACGCAAATTTGCAGTGGCCCATGACTACTTGCTAAGTTTGCATTTAATCCCGTTCTTGCCTTACCACTGTATTCGGGCGATCTGCTGTTCATGCACAGCTGCCTTTTGCTCGGTCCTCAGGAGCGTATCGACGACGGCGAGGAGATGCAGATGTCTGACGAGGAGCCCGAGCCGGAGCCGGAGCCCGAGGAGAGCTCCTCGTCGTCCTCGGAGGACGAGGAGGAGGAGCAGGAGGGGCGCGCCGAGCCGGAGCGCGGCGTGGCCGACAACACCCAGGTGCAGGACATGGAGGAGGACTCGGACGAGGAGGCCGAGGAGCCGCGCCGACAGGCGCCGCCGCCGCCTTCCATATCGCGCATGCAGCCGCCGCCGCCGCCCATGCCGCCCAAACCCGACCAGGTGGTCATCAAAAAGTACGACCCCAAAGGTAAGCACCAGGTGATGCGAGGCATTTGGTTTGGTAAGTTTCGATTTGCTCATGAGAATGGATCCAACTAGAAAACATTTATTATTGTCAGATGGCAGGATCACGCCATGCAACCCGTTTCCTAACTCCCCTTCAGAAGCTTTTATCCGCTGCGTCTCTCAAGCTTTCAATTAGTTCACGATTCCTTCTGTCTGAACTTAATCTGCACACACCTAGTTTTTCAACTGTTGAACTTTTGTGTTTCCCTGCAATAATGTACCCATCACAGCTGGCCGACGTGTTTCCCCGCAGCTGCTGCCAAGCCGTCTCGCGCCCCCGCTCCGGATGAGTACCTGATCTCGCCCATCACGGGAGAGAGGATCCCGGCCAGCCAGGTGGCCGAACACATGCGCATCGGCCTGCTCGACCCGCGCTGGGTGGAGCAGCGCGACCGCCAGCTCAACGAGAAGGTCAACCAGGAGACCGTCTTTGCCACCGGTCAGTGAGACACAAGGAGCGCGGGGAACGGGATTGGGGATGATTATGGGCTGGGGCTAGCCCAGTGCGATTGGATTTGAAGTCTTAAAGTCAATGCCGTTTGCTGCAACCTTACACGCTTGCGTAAATGATTAATTATACACTTTTTGCCATAATCGCTTCATAAGCCGCATATAGAAAGCAACTGATAAGTGTTATATGCATTTTCTGACATGGTAGGTTCAGCTAGGTCGGCGTCTCTTTTCGTCTTTTGACTCAACCCATGTATCCACCAGGTGGCGACATCGGCTCCCACCTGCAGAACCTGGCAGAGCGGCGAACGGATATTTTCGGCGCCGGAGACGAGGAGACCATCATCGGAAAGAAGATCGGCGAAGAGGAGAAGAGGGCGGATGATAAGGTGAGGCTCGGAGGACGTGCCTAGGGGCAGGCTGTCTACTGGTTGTCTGGGTGGCTGTTCTGTCCCTCAGTCGATAGCTAGAGAGCAACTGATCGTATGTTAGAAACTGACTAGGTTTGTGGCGTCTGATTCCAAGGACGAAATTAGGTTGGAACCAGCAATGGAACCTGTCGTCGCCTCCTGACCTTTGTGCCCGGCCTATTTCAGAGCATCTGGGACGGCCACTCGTCGAGCGTGGAGTCGACGCGGAGCGCGGCGCGCGCCAGTATCACGCTGGACCAGCAGATCAGCCACATGAACAAGGCTAGGAGTCTGATGGAGGAGACGGAACGCATCGGACCCAAGAAGGGCGGCGGCCGCGGCGACCGACGCGACCGGCGCGATCGCGACGACCGGGACGATCGTGAGGAGCGGGACCGGCAGCCGCCGCCGCCGCCGCCGCTGCCGCCCACACCCAAGGCACCGGCGCCGCCGCCGCCGCCCACGTCTGCTCCCGCGCCGCCTCCGCCGCCGCCGCCCCGCGAGGCGCCCAAGCCGCCCCCGCCTGCGCCGCCCGCGCCGCGCCTGACGCCGGCACAGCCGCCGCAGCCTCCTCAACCGCTGCTGCTGCGGCCGCAACTGATGGCTCCACAGATGGCGCCGCAGGGAGTTATGATGGCGCCCCGACCGCCCGTCGTCTGTGAGTACCTCGGTGCAGCGGAGGGGCGGGTGGGGCGACGCGTCACTGCACTCTAGTGTCTGGTAGTTTGGGTGATAGCAAACGGTTTCGATAAGGGGAACTGGGGCTGATCGATACATCCTAGCCTAAATTATTTGGAACTTTTCAAAAAATGTATTGATTGCTCTCGTCTTCCTATTTTTTATCGAATCGCTCCATAATTATTTTGTGGATGTTAACTTAGGCCCAGATGGACAACCTTTTCCTTTCACAGCTTATCGTTTCATGCAACACTACCTCTATTTCGTTTCGCAAAACTCTTTCCCCTGGTATCCTCTGGCTACCTGTCCTTTCCGTGTACCGTGAGCGGTTCAGCTGAGCACATTCTCGTTGCTCACTGTCCCGACTCTAACCGCGCTTCATCACCATGCTGTTTCAGTGCCCGCGCGGCCGATGTTCATGCAGCCGATGCCGGCCGGCTTCATCCCGCAGATGCAGCCCGGGCCGCCACGGCCTCCCATGCAGGTGAGAAAAACTCGCCGCCATCATTTAGCGAGAAAGCTTTTTGTTTAGACTTTGATCGCCGACAATACTGTTTGATGTTTGCACCAACTTACATTCACTGGCTATTTATATGCTGAAGGAATTCATTGCTCGCTGTTTTATCTACTAATGTAACGTGATAAAAGTGGAGTGACTGGTCCATAGTTGTATTTTGTATCTACATATGTATTACTGATATAGCGCCAGCTTGCTCAGTGCGTTTATAAAAGGGCAGAACCCTGTCTTCATTACCCTGTTTGGTCGGCCTCGTTCTCCCGACACGTGTTGTTCCACTGGCGTATTTCCCCTACTGACGGCTCTGACGCCCCCCCCCCCCCTCCCCCCTCCCCCCAGATGGCGCCGGAGCCGATGGTGGCCGGCGGTGACGACGAGCCGCCCAATAAGCGGGCGCGCACCGAGGACAGCCTGGTGCCCGAGCAGATGTGGCTGGCGCGCCACCCGCAGGGCACCGTCACCTTTTGCGTGGCCGTGCCGACCGTCACCGACAAGCCCGAGTGGCGGCTGAGCGGCCAGGCGCTGTCGCTCACCATGCCGCTCACCGAGCTGGTCTCCGTGGTCAAGGCGAGGCTGCATGACGAGACCGGCCTGCCGCCCGGCAAACAGAAGCTGCTGGGAGAGGTGCGTATGAATTACAGCGGCAGTTGACCTAGGATGGTCAGGGTGGGGCAAGAGTTTTGATGTCAGTGAAGGTCACATCACGGCTGCTGATGGCTCGGAGGCGATTCAAATTATGAACGGAACTTGGCAAGGTGATGTTTTGAGTGATATTTCACCGATGTGGTTGATTACCGTTCAGCGATGCATTCTGCAGGTCTCCTTGACAATTGGTCCCGTACCTTGTGACCTCAACCCCCCTGACCGATGCTTGTTTGATCTGTGTTGCAGGGCATTTTCTTCAAGGACTCAAACACACTGGCCTATTACAACGTTGCCAACGGCAGTACAATCCAGCTTCAGCTGAAGGAGAGAGGAGGTCGGAAGAAGTGAGGCTTCACACTCCTTTACCGAGATCCATCAATCGGCTAGACGGCCGGCGGGAAGGGAGACACGGGAGGTAGACTATATCTTCTCGGCCTCAGTACCTCCCAACGTGTCGGGTCGCTGTGCTGCTCCGCGACCGGCGGATCTACAGACCGTGCTCTGCTCCGCTCCATTTTGTGTCACTGTACGTCTGCGACGCCGGCTGGTAGCCAATACACCCATCTGATAGTGGCGGTGCGGCGTCTGAGAGATGGTACTGACGCGCCGGAGTTGTGTTCTGTAGACGAGGGTCGCGATCCTAGTGACATATAACTGGTGAGGTAGTAAGCCCACCAATCGTGGCTGGTTGGAGTTTCCGAACCAGCTGTCAAAATACACAACACTAGCCAAAAAACACAGCTCTTGTCTAAGTATATTTATATTGGCTCTGCGACGTCGCGGACAGGAGATCCAGCACAAACCCGACAACCAAAACCAGAAAATATATCTAAAAGATATGGGACCGTTGTACCACCAGGTCGTTGACCGCAGCACCCTGTTGCAAACATGAACGATGACTCGCGCCACTCGCTACAGCCCACTCAGCCAGTCAGCGTCGAAAACAGCCCGAAACCGGACGGTGACACGCGCAACAACAGAAAACAAAAGCGAAACATGAATAAAAATTCATCGGCGACGATTGTCGAGATATTATGCCAGATCACTAACGTGATTGGGAGTTTATTGTCGTACCATTCACATCAGCTCACCATCTGGGACACAGCCGGCACAACACGAGTTACTCGCACCGCCACCCGGTTCGCACGCAGACGTCCGTCACTCACCCGTACCACACGGCGGTGCCGGCGGCGGCAGCGGGGCCGACTGGGCTCGTCGCACCGCTCTCCAACCGCTCCCACTCACCTAACAGCACCATCGAGACAGAGAACGACAGACACGGCCAATGGAGACACCCGCCGCGTCCCGATCCCGGGAGACGCCGGCTGAGGTCCCAGGCGAGTCCGCCTGGCTACCTACCGCCAGCGGCGCCCCCGAGAGAGCGCAGGGGCTCGGAAGCTGGCAAGTTGTACTCCCGTTAAGTCCGGACACCTGAGCGAGCCGAGAGGAGCGAGACAGGCCACCACACCGGAGCTGGGGCGCCGGCCGACGCCCCGGGCCGGCGCCGTGGGACGGGTTACGTCACACCGAACGGTGACGTCACCGGCGCGGCCCGGTCCGGCGCCGCGGCTCAGCGCGCGGCCGACCGGTCACCGTGCCGGTACAGACACTCTCATCCGGAGGCTGGCTGGAACGACTGGCCGGGAACGAACTCGGCGGCCAGCGGGTTCAGCTCCACCTGGGCCGGGGCGGACGGACCGGTCAGCACAACGCTGAGACGATACTAAACAAGGCAAGGGCGTGTGCCACTGCCTCTACAGGGCCGGGCATTATGAAGGGTCGCACTATGTCAGAAACCAAAACGTATTTCAGGTAATTGTCCATCGAAATAATATCCGCGTGCTCAAATCATCCATCGAAACTAGTCACGCGCACATGTAGTAGTTAGGCATAAGGCGGCGGTGAATCATTGAGCCCGCAAACCCTAACTACATATTTACTAAAACCGGTCACCAGAGGCCAGTTTTACCGACAGAAAAATAGCCACCCGCCGGATTTTTTTGCCCAAAGGCCGCTTCACATACCGAGCGTAAGCGCGATCCTACGCGAAAGCCCTATCCGCTTACGTTCCTATCACGTTTACGCTCTGTGGTCCTTAGGCAAAAAATTCCGGCAGACGGCTATTTTTCTATTGGTAAAAATGGCCTCTATACAGTAGGTATACATGACATGTGATATTCGCAACTCGGTCCAGCCGGGAGCGTACATACCTTGGGCCTGTCGTTGACTGACAGGGAGCCGATGTCGCGCGCCAGGGTGTCCGCTGGCTGCTGAGCGCCCGGTTGGCACGTGCTCCACGGCTGCTGTTGCTGCTGCTGCTGCTGTTGATCCGGCTGTTCCATCGGCGGCAGGCAGCCGGTCGACCAGCCCATCTGCCTGAGTATCCCAGTGACACGTACAGGTCAAAACCGGCCGTGCGCGCTCCACAACCATATGCCTCATATGCTTCCGAGAAACACGATCCGATGCCCCAAGACACACTCGCTCGCGCGTACAGCTTGGAGCTGATTCATGATTGCACGATGTCAAGCACACACTCTGATGCTCACTGCTCAGTAACTAAAGGGTTGTCTGTGGCATGTGTACTCAGCATAGGTCTACCAGTTTGAGTCACCATTCGTCCGTTTACATCATCCAGAAGTCCGGTGCCCGTCGTGTGCTGCATCACGTCAACCATAAAATATCGATCGTCGGGATTCCGATTAAACTAAATGGGGCAGGAATAAAAAGTTGGAAAGCCAGCTGAACCGCTGCAGGAATTCACTCACCCTGTCTGCCACATGTCTGATTGATCAAAGCCTCCTGGCCGGGACGTGAGCCTCTCTTCTTCCTCCAGCATCTCACTGAAACACTTCTGAGCTATCTGCTCATCCTCAATCTGCTTCAGCATCTGAGCGAATCAGGAGCAATGAGGTCAAAAGATCAGCCAGAATACCTATCCAAGCTCTTTATGAGTCAGTTGACAAAAAGTTTCATATTTTAAACCATGATCATGTGCTTGATTCTTGCTATCATCAGGAAAGACTGAAATGTTTGAGATAAATATATAAACAAGAATATGTAGCTTGAGTGAATTTATGAAGACATGAAAAGAAAACAAATGGAGCACTTGACTGCAATAATTCTTTCTTTTCCTGGGGCAATTTGTACATTGGCTGTCCTGCCCAGTGCCCAGTATCTGAAGCCCTCCAATATCCAAAAAATTAGTAGGTAACTTCTGCTTTTGAAGGCAGCTGCTGCCCTGACAGACCTGCACACAAAAGCAAACATAGGTACAATGCTGATAGAGTACCTAGCCTGCTCCCTTCAAATGCTCCCCACCTCTTTCTCCACTTCTTCTTCATTGGCCATCCACATGTAGTCCTCAAAGTCATCCTTGGGCTTCTGCTGCTGGCTGTCACCCCCTCCCCTGCCACCACTGTCATCACCATAGTAGCCGTTGCTGACACCTCTTCCAGCAGGGTCCATCTTTTGATATTCTGAAAATAACAGCACACTATCTGTGTCACTTTCTATCTACCCCTGGTATTCACTTCAGCCATTCTGTAATAGCCTTCACTGAGCACTAAGCAGAAATTCACATGACACACAAAACAGCCCAGAAACCACACTATGATGATCCCATTGACCTCAATAAGACTTCTATAGGTCAATGGATGATCCATATCAATAATGGTGATGACAGAGACAACAAAAAACACTATTTCTCGGCAATTCAGTAGTCAGTAGTAGACAGGGGCTCCGCCACGGTTTTGGGATTGGGGGGGTCCGACCGAAAACACAAAACCTCGCTGGCGGATCCAGGGTGGGCATTTTGTGCGAATTTTTCCTCTCCCTGCAGCTCCCGAAGATGATGAAAAATTGCCGCTTTTTCTAGAGCTCAAAGAAAACTTAATAATTTTATCGGGATAATTTTGCTTTGAGCCGAAAAACCAAGGCTCAATTTGCACAAGAAATCGAAAACCGAGAAGCAGAGCCCATTGACACCGACATGGCGGCCTCTCAAATCAACGTTTTTGAGCAATGGAGGCCGCTGTTGCGCGCTCCAAGGGCGGTGTTAGCCATCAGACAGCACATTAGGCTCTCAGTGACTGGCATGCGCTTGGGAACTCAGGGACCTTCATAGGCGCTCAGATATATATGTAGGCTCTTAGGCCAGTGCCGGGTCCTCCAAGGCCGTAGTTAAAGGAAAGCGCAGGGCTTTAGGAGTCGTTGAAGGGATTTGATAAGCCCTGCCCTCATACATATAGCAGTATGGAGTCCTTAGAGACTGACATTCAGTCTCTGTGATCAAAGAGTGACCTACCTCGACCTGAAAATGGATATCAAAATGCTGCAATTACCGACTTGCATTCAGAGTCCTGTGCAGATTATTGCAGATTACCTCAGAACGGTGTGAGGCTGCTTAGACTAGTACGGTGCTTGAAAGACCGGCTTAACCCCCTTCCCCCAACACTATCGGTTGACCTCACATGGAAAAAGGATTCTCAGATCGCTTTGAAGCTCTTTTGGAGCGGGTATTGTGTCTAGGTGTCCTGCAAGCTGGACCTCTCTCACGAAATTATAGCCGAATTCTAGCATGCTGAGCTAATCCTATAGCAATCTTAAACGCATTCATTTTAATAACAAAATGGCAGAATAATGACACTCCCGTACCTACATATAGGTCGGCGAGAGTTGAGCGCTTCATGTGTCACATTTTTAGGGATCTCTACATTTCTAGATCTTGAATTCCTTAGCTTTGCGACTGTCAACACTGCACATTCTAAATTATTCAACACATTCTGTGAATGGTTTAGTCATTCTTACGCGAAAACAAGCTTATAGGTATTCGGAATATTGGGGGGTACTGTACCCCCCAGGTAAATTATTGAGGGGGTCCGGACCCCCACGTACCCCCCTGTGGCGGAGCCCCTGGTAGTAGAGCAGAAAACAAAGCGCTGGGGGAAGTGGATGAGTGCGAAGTCAAACGTCGACAGAGAAAGAAGACTCTTCGGCTGATCCCTCTGTAAATGTCCCAGCTGCACGCCTTCAACTGCATGCTGCAACTGCAAGCTGGACTGCTGCACTGCCACCCCTGCTCTGCACGTCTGCACGCCTGCACGCCTTGCCTCGTTGTCAGTACCACTAAGTGTCAGCCTGGTTGCTATTTCCTTTGCACGCTTGCTGCAGCACCCTTGTGACGCCCAGTCTCAGACCGCAACCTGCCACACCTGTCCTTGCACCCTGTTGGATGTGACCCTGTGGGATGTGACAAGTGTGAGCAGTGGGTGCATGGATCACAGATGTGTTCGGGACTGCCGCTGGAGCTCATTAATGCTATATTAAAGTATGATGGGGCAGGGATTCAATTTATATGCATGAAATGCAGGGTCGAACAGGTGACCGCTCGGGGCAATTCCCCAAGTGGCCACACAGACCCCCACCTCGCGGAGACTGTCAAACAGCTGCATGTCCAGGTGAAGGGAATGTGTGCTGTGATCAAGGAACTCACCTCTCAAGTCAAGGAGCTTTCTTCCAGAACTCCCCAACTCCCCAACCACGATGCTGCTTTGGTGAATGTGCAGGGACAAACCGCTGCTCCTCATCCCCTACCACACCAGCCTATCACTGCCACTAACCCCTCTCAGGACTACCGTGCCCTCATTAGGGAGGAGATGAAGGAGCAGAAGGAACGGGACAAACGCCGTGCCTTTGTCGTAATCAAGGGTTTGCCTGCCTCATCTACCACTGAGTTCAAGGCCAAGTTCACTGAGTTTGCCAGGAATCACACAGGGACTAGAGTAGAAGCTTCTGAGGTACTGGCTATCCCTGGCCAAAGTAACTTCTTCAGAGTCAAAATCCCTGATGATGAAAGTAGAAAGCTCTTGCTGGATAAAGCCAAACAGCTAAAGGATTCTGATGACTATAGAGGCATCTTCATATCTAGGGACCTGACTTATGCCCAGAGAACTGAGCAGTACTTGAGACGCAGGCAGGCGCGGCAGGCCCAGGAGCCCCAAACTGGAGATGGAGATGGAGCTGTGCAATCTCACCAAGCCTCTTCAGTGACAGCAGGGGGTTCCTCGGCTGCTAGAGCTGACAATGCTGATCACCCTCCCCAGGCTCAGGCTGCTGCTGCTGCTCGTGATGCCCCTTCCACCTCTGTCGCGGGAAACTGAATGATCTGCCTAAATCTACCCTGATTCGTCTTTCACAGGTCAATCTCAATGGCTTAAGCTCCAAGGTGAACATGCTTTTTGATTTTGCAGATTCGTCAAAACTTGACATTGTTTGTGTTACTGAATCTCATCTCCTCCAGCACATTCCAGACTCATTTGTAAACATTCCTAACTATAATCTCATTAGAAATGATACTAATGGTACAGTGTACAAACATGGTGTATGTGCCTATGTGCATAACAACATCACTGTTGGTAATGTTCAAGCTCCAATTCCCAATGTTCTCACCTTCTGTCTTGTGTCTTATAATGTTTTTGTTGCTGTAGTCTACCGACCTCCCTCTTATTCTGACACTGAGAACGAACTTGTTTGCTCCTTTCTAAGTAACTTCTGCAGTGATAAGGAAGTGATATTGTTAGGAGATTTCAATCTTCCTGGACTTGACTGGTGCCATGGAAATCCACTTAATAGTTCAGGAGGATCGAGGACAATCCAAATGTTTGTTGACATATTTAACTCTCTTGGACTTACGCAGTGGGTTACACAGCCAACCTACCCGAGGTCAGGCAATACACTGGACCTGGTCTTCACATCTGAGCCAGACCGTATTGGTCAACTTATGGTACAAGCCCCTCTCCCAGGTTGTGACCACTGTCCGACGATATGTGACTATGTCTTTGAAAATGTTGCTGCTGACCCTCATGGGAGGACAATGTCCCGCAGGAGAAACTGGCACAAAGCTCGATATGCTTCAATGCGTAGATCACTACAGCTCTTGGACTGGGACTTCGAGCTGGCCTACCTGAATGTGGAGGACTCGTTTAACCGTTTCACAGCCATCATTTCAGAGATGGTAGACCTACATGTGCCAACACAGCAAGCTAATCCCCCTAAACCACCCTGGAAAACAAGACCCCCGATTTCCTTAATTCACAGGCGCCAGGCAGCTTGGCAGACGTACAAGAGGGTGAGGCAGCAATCTGGCAGAAGCTCTACTGGTACACTGGCCGCATATAAGCTTTTCTCATCTGTAAACCGCGAGTTGCGAAATTTTGCCGCCAGATCGCAGTGTGATTACGAATCTAGTCTTATTGACAGGTCAAAGGACAACCCCAAACTGCTCCATTCTTATATAAGAAACAAGAAGACTGGCAGACCAGCGGTTGGTCCCTTGCTTTTGCAATCTGGTCACCATACTGATGATCCCACAGCTATGGCTGAGCTACTTGCAACATCTTTTGCCTCTGTATTCACCACTGTCACCCCCACTAACCCCTCGCCCCACCAGGCCTTCGACGGGACTCTCAGCCATGTAGAAGTATGTACAGAGAATGTTCGCCATGCTCTCAAAGATCTCGACCCTAACTCTGCCATGGGCCCCGATGGAATACATCCACAGGTATTGAAGGAATGTGCTGATGACCTCGCCTACCCTCTACAGATTATATACACGAGATCACAGAGAGAGGGACGAATACCCTCTTGCTGGAAAAAATCCCTAGTTATACCTATTTTCAAGAAGGGCTCCCGGTTTGATCCACTAAACTATAGACCTATCAGTCTGACGTCTGTTGTGTGCAAAACGATGGAACGCCTGATTTGCACACAGATACGTAATTACCTGGAAACGAACTCACTGCTGACCTCAAACCAATTCGGTTTCAGGGCTGGCAGAAGTACAATGGACCAGCTACTCCTAGCTTATAACACAGTGTCTAAAAACATGGACCTTGGTGGCGTGACTGACGTCATTCTCTTCGATTTCAGTAAGGCGTTCGATGTCGTCTGCCACGATCTCATGATAACCAAACTGAGATCGATTGGTTTGACAGGTGCTCTCATTGACTGGATACGTTCATTTCTCCAGGGCAGACAGATGCAGGTGTGTGTGTGAAGGACATGATAAGCCAACCTAGGGTTGTCAGCAGTGGTGTACCGCAGGGCTCTGTCCTTGGGCCCCTGTTGTTCCTGGTTTATATTGACGGCGTAGCATCACAGCTGAGAAGTGAATATAAAATTTTTGCAGATGACCTGAAACTTTATGCCTGTGTGAAACATGCCCCAGGAACCTCACCAGTGTTATCCTCTGCCCAAGTACAAAAAGACATTGATACACTGCAAACCACAGCAGCATCGTGGTGTCTGAAAATGAACCCAAAGAAATGTGCAGTTCTCCGCTTTGCGAGGCCCCGCGCTAACTTGCCTTCACCGGTGTACTTCCTTGATGGACAGCAAATCCCACATGTAGATTCTCACTCTGATCTTGGTGTTACTGTCGACTCGCAGCTTAAATTTCACGAGCACATTAGGACTGTTGCACACAAGGCTAGCGGTCTGGCCCATAGTTTTCTTAAGTCTACCGTTTGCAGGTCTCGCGCATTTATGTTGTTCTTGCTCACTACTCATATCCGACCTGTTATAGAATACTGTTCATGCTTGTGGCATACAGGTTATCTGAAAGACTTGCGGGTCTTAGAAAATGTTCAGAGGAAGTGGACAAAGCGAGTGGATGGAATGAATGGATTAAGCTATGCAGATCGCCTACAGTCCTTGAACCTGTATTCTGTCCAAGGGAGGCTCATTCGTGCGGACTTGATACAATGTTGGAAGCTGTTTAACGGTAGATCGTGCCTGAGTCCAGATGACCCAGTGTTTCATTTTTCAGCCTTTTTGGTGGCAAATCACACCTAATGGGGAAAATATTTTCATCCCTAAAATGTGAATGACCGACTTTACTTCATCTCTGAAAAGAGTTTCATGTATTCCCAACAGCCAGTTCACTTGTCACTTGACAGTTGATGCACCCACATCCTTTTGTTCCACACCCTGTCAAGATCCTGACATGAAATCCTGGTTTATCAGTTAGCATAAAAATTGGCATTACACCATTTTACAAAAATGCTGCAGTTATTTACTTTCTTTTTTCTCATCCTAGGATTTTTTTTTCTTCATCGGCACACCCAACCAATATCCAATTTTAGAACACTGAGATGACCTGTTCGACCGCCCTCCACAGGAGCGGACTAGGGGCCACTGCTTTAGGATTTTCCCCACTCTCACCCACACAGACACTAGAAAGCGCTTTTTCTCTGTCAGATGCATTGCTGTTTGGAACTCACTGCCTGAGGATGCTGTCCGTGCACCCAACATAGCTAGCTTTAAGAAAATGATTGAGGTACATGCATGTAATAGCCTGTTCAGATATGATTGAGGATGAGCAGTGCTGATTTTGTAAGTAGTTATAGGTATGTAGGTTACTTCCTCGTAGCTAAGCGTGTAGAAATGTGACTGTGTTCATCTGACGAGCTTGTGGAAGACGCACAATACCAGTCAAAACTCCCAGGACTAATGGTCAAGAATATCACAACTGGGCTGGCGCGTCTGGCATTCAGGGTTCCTTCCAATTCCTTTCGGTCCTTCCACCTTGCCTTTTCTTTCCGACACAAATGGGAACCCAACCAGGTAAGAGAACCAGGTAAGAGTCTCAATTTTTTTTTGTGTGCAGCTGTGTAACACACAGCTGCACACAACAGCAAGCAAAGCACCAACACAATCTGGTGGGCATCAGTAAAGGTACCCATACCCAGTATTATGTAGGTACCAGATACGAGTACCAGTACCCTACCTAGGTACCCCACTTTCAAGTTCCACAATCTTGCACTCTCACAGCAGTAGAAAAGAAGGCATCACTTGTATTTTTTTAAACCAAGGAGAGGTGCTTTAGATTAGGTTGTTGGTTTTATGTTTTAGGTGATAGGTTTTAGGTTTTAGGTTGTAGGTAAGATTAGGTCAGGTATGGTTAGGCTTGGTTTGATTAGAAAGCATCTCTGAGTAGTGAGTATAGTGCCTCTCCTTGGTTGAAAAAAAACAAGTGTGACGCGGGACGCCTGCTTTATGATTACCCATTCTCGCAGCAAATGCACATCAACATCACATCTCAATCTCAGGGAATATATAGGTACTACTGGCGCCCATTCAGTAATGTTGGTTGAAGATCTTCTTGCACTATAAGGAATCGCTTAACTTGATTTACATGTCTGAACTTGGTACCAACTTTCTTTAAATAAAAGCTGGAATTATAGGTAGGTACTCACTGGTACTGACTGCCTTCGCTGGAGTAATAAGATTATGGACTATGGAGTGCACTAAGCACTATAGTCTGGCAAACCTAAGAAAGACCGCAATTAAGGCGCCTGGATCACTTTGCACGTGTTTTGAGCACTTGAAATGTATGGCTTTGAGAAATTTGTGTGAAAAGTTGTGAGAGAAAATATGCCCTCACAATATAAATACACATGCATCAATGACCGAGGCACCTTAAATCCATTCTTTCTTATAGGTTTGCCAGACTTATTATAGGTAAAACACCTGTTCACCTACAGTAGAGCTACGCAGTACGCACATCTTGATCTTGTTTAACTTACCAGGTCCAGATAAGGAAATATAATTGTGTTACGCAGCCGTCGGCAATCAATCTACTGACAAAAAGTGTTATAATTTTTAGAAATCCAGCAGTTAAAATGACAAAATAATCCACTACAACCTTTTCCCGACACTTGTTTTGAGGTCGTATGATTTCCAAAATACAAACTACATTGATGACGTTTTTATCTTAAGGCAATCACTTCAACATTCTAGTTTTTGTTTACTTCTATAAATATTTCAAATATTTTTTTTTTCATCATTTGTCAGCAAAAATCATAATTTTTTGCAGAATACCTACAAAAGTGCATTTGCGTCATTTATTTTTACGTCATCATTCTATATAATAAAAGCTGTTGGACACAAAAAAATATCCCAGCTGGAGCACAGCTACTAATTTATTTTCTATCACGAATTGAAAAGATATTACACATTTAATAGAACATACTCATACTTTTTAGCCTTTTTGCTTCTTTCGAAACTGTTTCTTTGAATTTTATTGGGAATGAATAAACTTTGGTAGAGGCAAAAATAGAATACAAAAAATAGTTTTCTCTTTTGCAGTGCGGCGCAGTAGTTTCGATTACGGCGCAAACAAACCGCGGTACCACACAGTACCACGTGCACGATTGACTGACATATTGACTGACGATTGACTGATGTCAATTGAGCATAAATTTGGATAAATTGACATTTTTTATGCTATTTAGTGAATGCGAAGGAATAATTGAAGTTCCACCTGATCTAGCTCATAGCCGGTGTAGTCATGTGGGTCCTTAGCGGAAATGAGAAGTCGCCTGGTGAGTGAACTACCTAGCTCAAAGCAAGATAGCCAACTTTGACTTGAATTGGTATTAATTAAATGATCATTTGCATATTAGTACTTTATTATTTACTGCTGTTGACATTGATATCTTTGGCTAAATCACTATGATGTTTTCCTGACAGAAGTGACACACTACCTACTCTGCAACCGTGACATCTTGGTGGGGAGACGAACTGATATCAGATTGGAGGATGACAAGTCCATCAGCCGCACGCATGCCTGTATACACATCAGTTACAGGCAAGAGGATGTGGTAAGGATGTTATTGTGTTGATCTGGATCAAGTGCATCTGAAAATGTGCATGCCTCTGTAGCGGGTGCAACAGCGCTCCGTTGCTAGCGACGGCGCCGTAGCGTGTGCAACCCAGCGGCGGCGTCGTAAACTAGTAAATCCTTTTGATGCACGCAGATGTCAGTGATTGATTGACACATATGTCTTGTGATTGTTTTCTGCCTTATATGTTATCTCTTGTAACCGTAGCTGTTGTATTGTCACGCCTTAAGAGGGTAATCTAGGAGCGCAGGTGTGGAGTAATTTTTCTTTGTCCAACTGTCACTGGAATTTGTAATATTACCATTTAGACGCTGAAACTACCTATGCAAGGTAGCCTTGCTAGAAATATAGTGTGCCAATTTTTGTTCAATAAATCAGTACGATCCACGATCGGTAACTCGTTCATCCTAGTCAAGCTCAGAGCTACCGACACGGGCCCACATCGGGAGTCTCCTCCTCCCTTGGAGTTGTGTGGTGCCGACGGTGGCGGATGGTAGTCTCTGCCTTGACAATCCTTTCACTCCCTCTCACAACGAGAGGTGGACTACTAGCGGTATACACTGCTAGCGGTTCAAGTGGCGACCGGCTACTCTCAGCCGTGCCACATTGGTGACACCCGACTCTGGACTCACCTGCCAGACACTTACTCCTGGCCGTCTCACTGGCCCCGCTGTGGTACGGACCACTACTGGCCTGCTCACCTGCCAGACGGCCACTTTCGGACTTCCACCTTCTCTCGCTGCGGCGCGGACCCCCAAGGCACGCAGGATTCGCCGCGGCACGCAGGATTCGCCGCTGACTGGGGGTACGCCATCAACACGCCAGCGGATTGTGATGCCTTCCCGGACCTCTGTAACGCAGCGAGCGTAGTGGGCAGCGGCCAGGTCCGGGATGAGCAGTGCGTCGTCTCGGGCTCTCAGTGTACAGTGTTAACCCCCGGACCACGGTAGCGCAGCGAGCGCAGTGGGCAGACGAGTTGCCGGTCCGGGGACGCGGCGCGGTACGGTGACGTGTACACCATGCCCGTGATGGAGGGCGACACCTCGCAGGAGGCTGCGTCGGCCGACACTCCTGCCACCACGGCTGCATCGGACGAGCGGGCGCGACCGCTTGCTTCATTCAGACTGCCGGCGTTTGCCCCGGACGAGGCGGACCTCTGGCTGCTCCAAGTGGAATGTGCGTTCGACGTGGCTGGCATTGCCGATCCCGTCACAAAGTTCAAGCTGCTGGTGGCAAATCTGCCTACCAACGTGGCGGCCCAAGTACGGGACGTTATCGTCAGTGCACCAGGAGACTTCGACGGGCTGTGCACTGCCCTCCGCCAGCGCCTCGCCCAGTCCCGTGCCAGCCGCCTCGAGGCCCTGCTCCGGCATCAACAGCTCGGCGACAGGTCGCCTTCCCAGCTTCTTCGCGATATGAGAGGACAACTTTCAACGGCTGGCGACTCGTCGGTGGACAGTGGCCTACTGAGGACCCTGTTCCTCCAGCGGCTGCCGCAGTCCGCCCGCGCCGCTCTCTCGCTCCTGCCGGAGGCCACTCCGCTGGCAGAGCTTGCAGAGGCGGCTGACCGCTTCCTGGAGGCGTCTCGGCCCACTGGCGCCGTCTCCGCCGTAGGTGCGAACTCCAGCCCGGCTCCTGCGGCCACGACTGGGGACGGAGATCTGGCTGCCGCCATCGCTTCCCTGTCCGCCGTCATCAGCCGGCTGGACACCTCCCATCGGCGGTTGGAGGGGGCAGTTGCTGGTCGCCGCTCGCGGCCAGGAACGCCTAGGCGTGGCTCCCGGTCAGCCTCGCCCTCCCGCGACGGGCGGGAGGATTACTGCTGGTACCACCGCACATACGGAGCGCGGGCCCGAAAGTGCACTGGGCCGTGTGCGTGGACGCCGGCGGGAAACTCGGAGGCCTGAGCCGGCCTGCGCCTCCCGCATCAGGCCCGACACCGGACTTGGCGCCGCTCTTTTATGTGCACGATACTAAATTGAACTGCCGATTCTTGATAGACACTGGGGCCCAAGTGAGTGCCCTGCCTCCTCACGCGCTCCCGCGAGGCGCAGTGCTAGCCGCCGGACAGGCTCCCCGACTGACCGCGGCCAATGGCTCCAGCGTGCCGGTCATCGGTCTGTTTGACCACTGTGTGACTTTGGATGGTGGCTCGCCTCTGCCGTGGCGTTTCGTGGTGGCCAAAGTCGGCGTGCCCATCCTCGGCGCCGACTTTCTGGCCCATCACCACCTCTCGGTGGATGTGAGGAGGTGCACGCTGTGTGAGGACAATGGAACTGTCAGAGCGAGGGGCACCACTGCAGTAGTGTCCTCTTTGGGTCTCCGACCCACTGCCTCGCCCTACCAGTCGATGCTGGCGGAGTTCCCGGGCGTCACGGCCGACACCTCCCGTCCGCTTCCGGTACGCCATTCGGCGACGCATCATATCGTCACCACGGGCCCGCCCCGGAAGTCACGCCCTCGCCGTCTCGCTCCTGACCGGCTTGCTGTCGCTCGCCGAGAGTTCGACAAGCTCTACCGGCTCGGCGTCATCCGCCCGTCACAGAGCAGTTGGGCTGCGCCGCTCCACCTGGAACCGAAGGCCACTCCTGGCGAGTGGCGCCCGTGCGGGGATTACCGGGCTCTCAACGCTGCCACCGTCCCCGACCGGTACCCTCTCCCGTACCTCCAGGACTTCGCCTCTCAGCTACACGGCTGCTCCATCTTCACCAAACTCGACCTCCACCGGGCCTACAACCAGATACCCGTGGAGCCGTCCGACGTGCCGAAGACCGCTATCACCACACCCTTCGGCCTGTGGGAAATGGTCCGCATGCCCTTCGGCCTGCGTAATGCCGGCCAGACCTTCCAACGCTTTATTGACGAGGTCTTGCGCGACTGCACCCACTGTTTCGCATATGTCGATGACATACTGATCGCGAGCTCGTCGGAGACGGAGCACATCGGACACGTGCGAAAAGTGATCCAACAGCTGGACGCGTACGGCGTGGTACTGAACGTCCACAAATGCGTCTTCGGCGTTCCGCGGCTGAACTTTCTGGGACACGACGTCAACTGTGACGGCATCGCCCCACTGCCGGACCGGGTGGCAGCCGTCCGGGACTTCCCGCTGCCTCGCACCGAGCGCGACCTTCGGCGTTTCATCGGAATGGTAACGTTTTACCACCGATTCATGCCCGACGCCGCCGCCCTGCTTCGCCCTCTGCACCGGCTGATCACACAACGCAACGCCAAGAGCGCTCGGCCCGTCCGTTGGACTGACGAGGCCCAGTCGACCTTGTGCAACAGCGCTCCGTTGCTAGCGACGGCGCCGTAGCGTGTGCAACCCAGCGGCGGCGTCGTAAACTAGTAAATCCTTTTGATGCACGCAGATGTCAGTGATTGATTGACACATATGTCTTGTGATTGTTTTCTGCCTTATATGTTATCTCTTGTAACCGTAGCTGTTGTATTGTCACGCCTTAAGAGGGTAATCTAGGAGCGCAGGTGTGGAGTAATTTTTCTTTGTCCAACTGTCACTGGAATTTGTAATATTACCATTTAGACGCTGAAACTACCTATGCAAGGTAGCCTTGCTAGAAATATAGTGTGCCAATTTTTGTTCAATAAATCAGTACGATCCACGATCGGTAACTCGTTCATCCTAGTCAAGCTCAGAGCTACCGACACGGGCCCACATCGGGAGTCTCCTCCTCCCTTGGAGTTGTGTGGTGCCGACGGTGGCGGATGGTAGTCTCTGCCTTGACAATCCTTTCACTCCCTCTCACAACGAGAGGTGGACTACTAGCGGTATACACTGCTAGCGGTTCAAGTGGCGACCGGCTACTCTCAGCCGTGCCACACCTCATGCCTGTTGAAGATTTGCCATCTGCTTCTGTGCCTTGTAAAGTTGAAATTGTTGTTAAATGGTTTGCTTCATGAGAAATGTAGGTAGATGGATGGGCATGGTTCATTCCTTTTGGAATGCTTTTATTTTTTTATGAATAGGGTAACTGGTTTGTTGCAATTTAGAAAGTGCAGCTGATTAAGCTGTGGAATATTTGCTGGTTGTTCCTTGCTGTTCATTCCATTAGTATGTTTAGATACCTACCCACCTGCTCTGTAAGTTTTGGTTATTGAAGCAGGTGACTGGTTCTTTAACAATTAATTTGTTTGTTGCAGTGAAATGACATATTTTTGTAGACGGTAACCAAACACTAGCTCTCCCTACAATGCATTCAATTCCAGTTCTTTCCATTGCATTTTGCCTTTGATTGGTGGTCCAACCAATCAGTCATGTATATTGATAGAGACAAGTAGAAATATGAATAGTGCATGGATGCATTCAATTATCAAATCTTCATCAGCGTGACATAATCATAAAGAAAAGATATAGCACTGTTATATCTTTTTCATGCTGATGAAGATTTGATAGGTAATCAAAATTTGTCCATACACTATTCAATTATCATAAACATGGTGCCCACATTTTTTCAGTCTGCGTCAGTCTAGCAGGCCCATGTCCATATCATGGATGAAGTATTCCTGGATAGGACACTCCCTATTCCCCAACACTAGCTCCGGCGACCAAGCGGCCGGAGGTGGCGGAGTGCTGAAACATCAGCGGCGAGTGCACCGGCGGCCGCCGCACCGGCTTGTGTGCTGAAAACGCGGTATTTTTTTAGATAAATTTAGTTCGAATCTTTGAATGGACGGATTGACAGAGCCGAGGTCCACCCTAAGCAGAGCTTATTGCGTAGACCCCGACTCCTGCCGCCCGATCGCGCAATTCCGGGTAACGGGAGAATTTAGATGCCAAAGTTTTAACGTGCCCTTCAAAGCCGGACGTGGCCTGTCCCACTCAACTGAGTTCAACTGGCTGCGGATGCTCCCACCAACCGCAGACCAACCCCGTCAGGAGTCTCAAATATCGAGCGCCGGAGCGACTCGAACCCGGGCTCTCACTACCGGGAGTCCGGTGCTCTACCAACTGAGCTACGGGACAGGCAGCAGCGTACAGCGTAATTTGAGAGCGAAATTAGCGAGCTTTAGCTCGTAAGACACGATTTCATACACTTTGAACACATTTTTAGTCCTTTCTGACAATAATTATGGCTCCATTTAGTCACTATCACATACGGAACCATTAGACACGATCCGCCCATAGCACGCAATGCTAAATGGCGCCTACGTCCTCGCCGTCGTGCGTGGTCGGAAAATCGGCGGAGTGTCTCATCCAGGAATAACTAATCCATATCCATATTTTGAATTGATTGGTACATAGTGATAGCTGATGGTTCTGTCAGATATCCTCGCCAACACCAAGGTGGGTGATTCGTTGGCAATGTGTAGTTGCTTTGGTCATATATCCCTGGTCTGACCGTCTGACACCTCACTGGATCGCCCCATCTTCCAGGCGTCGCCCACATCGCGTGGCCGGGTGACTCTGTCGGATCGTAGCAAGTACGGCACATCTGTGAACGGCCAGCGTATTGAGCCTCAGGGCGACTGCACACTGTCAGACGGAGACGTCGTCACCTTCGGACTCCAGTGGAACTCCTGGACGTAAGGAACCAGTGAAATGAGGGTTATGAGTGACAAACTTCAGTCCGGCCATCGGGTGTGCTTGCGACGCGCTGGTGGTTCTGCGGTCTATTATCAGTTTGTAAATAGTCGTTAACCGTCAGTTTTATCGATATTTTGCATACGTTACGGGCGAAAGGATACGACCTCCGTCGTCGGGGCAGCCTTAACCTCGCTCGTCGGAACAGCTTTCAACTGGGCAGCATTCTGATAAAAGATCTTTTTTTTTTCACTGACCCGTGTTCTGTGGGCGCCATGGCTCGTGTTTGCTGCGCTGACTGAGCTCTGTGTGCGCGGCGGCAGCCTGAGCTGGCGTCCGCTGGCGGTGGTCATCTCACTGCTGTCTCCCTCCGACCGCACCGCTCTGAACGCGGTGCTGGAGGAGCTGGGCGGTACGCTGCTGTCCGAGTGGGGGCCAACAGTCAACTACCTGGTGATGAACTCCTTCAAAATGTCCGTCAAGGTCAGTCACAAGTTGCAACTCAAAACGGCTCTATCCGCCATCAGTTAGTTGGTTTCAATGGGGATGGACAATGAATCACTAATCAATAAAAGGTTCGATGGTGCAATGTGATGCTTGCAACGTCGTTGTGCGAACTTTATGATGTTACCCGATGCTATTCCATGTTACGTGTAACCCATTGTGTGCCATTCTCGTGATAGGCGGTGCTGGCGCTAGCCTCCGGTACTCCGGTGGTTACGGCTCAGTATTTGAATGAGATGCTGACGTGCGCACGATCCAAGATGTCACCGGACGTCAACCCGACCGACTTCGAGCCGGTCATGGACGAGCCGACCCTGGTCGGAAGCGGCTGCACCATCGGGGTAAGAAGAAAAAGTGGTAGAACTTAGATTAAGGGGGTTCTGATTTGTTGACTCTTGAGTGGAGTGCCCAGTGGAGAGACGAACAAGTGAAGGATGCCGTGACGGACGATGCTGAGCGTTTGATGGTGGTGTAGTGGTTATCATTATGTGTACGATTGTAATGCAATGCTGATTACAAACAATTCAGTTAATTTATGCGGTAGCTTACGCATACCCGAACAGGGCATTGGTCTCTCATTAGCTCGAGAAGGTTGTCGGGCATCTGTCTACGTTGTCAAAGATATTAAGTTGTTTTCTGATCGTGCTGGGACTTCGATGCCCCGTTTGTCCTCCGTAGGTGGCAAAGGAGCGGAGCACCCTGTTCTTCGGGAAGCGGTTTGTGTTCGCGGAGGAAGCACAGTTGAAGCGGATGAAGCAAGCTATCGAGATGGCCGGTGAGTAGACCGCTGATCGGCCAGGGGATCAGGATATCGCAAACAATACCTAATTGAATTATTTCTTTTGGTTTCTTATTTACATGTAGTCATATTGTATACCTTGTCTCGGGAGTGTTCGTACTATATAGTAATCTCACTCTGCGTCTCTCTCGCTAGACGATAGTGTGCTGCCCTGGTTTCTAAATGTCTCTGTATTCAGTGTGTTGTCTTCTGTTCAGGCGGAACGGCATTACTTCTCTCGAGCTGTGGTCTGGAGGCTGCGGAGCTCGCCGAAAGTGACGTGATCATAATGCATACCGAGCTCAAAACACCCGAGGTCAACAAACTCAAAGGTGAGGGCTCGCCTTTAGTGAGCTCAATAATAGCAAAAAGATGGGGAATATCATATGCCAGTGAATAACCTCTTTTAGTTAAATTCATCGTCAATGGTAAAAGATTAGTTTGTCTTCCTTTCAAAACCAAAATAGGTACCTACCTAAAATGAAACAACATATTCGAGATCACCCGACAGCTGCAGCTTTGGTTCCAGCTATCATCAGTTCGTGACTAGAACCGTCCCGCTATCTTTCTGTCCTATCTACCGCACGCCATGACCGTGAGCTGTCCCCCGTGTGGCAGCGGTACTGAAGCGGGCCCGGCGCCGGATGGTGAAGGACCAGGAGATCGGGCTGGCCATCCTGCGAATCTCCATGGAACGCGACTGTAACCCGGCCTTCGATTACAGCGTCTCCTTCGTACCACCGCTCGCCAGCACTCAGAGCCAGAGCATGGTTAGTGGTAGACTGATGTCTTTCACTCCGGCGGGTGATTTGTGGGATGTGAGTGTTGTAGTGTTGCCTCCTGGTAAACTCATTAAATAACGGAAAACATGTATTTATCTTCTAGTTGAGGTTTATTTGCCATTGGGTCTACAGTACAGTGCATATAGAGGATTCTTCATGGCTCAGAGTGAAAGATAAGGATATCTTTTCCAAGCGGGTTACTGAAAAACCGAGCGACGAAGGAGCGAGGTTTTTCTGTAACACGCGAGGAAAAGATATCCTATCTTCCACGAGTGAGCCATGAGGAATCCTATATCTTTCTATGTTGAGGTTTATTTTTGATTAATAAAATATCATATTTAAATATATTCATCTATGTAAAAATAGATTCCGAGTAGTTTGTTCTTATTTCATAAGTTTCATCCATAAACAACCAGTAAAAATGTCGTTCGGTTATTGACCCATCATCACTTGAACTCTTGATTTTTCGCTATGAACCCTCGAGACCTTATCTTTGCATCTCAGAGGGATGCAGAGATAACAATTTCTTATCTCTGCATCTCAGAGGAGTGCGAGATAGAAATATCCCTGCACTGTAGACCCAATGGCAAATAAACCTCAACTAGAAAGATATTTCTATCTCGCACTCCTCTGAGATGCAAAGATAAGAATTTGTTATCTCTGCATCTTTCTGAGATGCAAAGATAAGGTCTCGAGGGTTCATAGTCAAAAATCAAGAGTTCAAGTGATGATGGGTCAATAACCGAACGGCATTTTTAATCGCTGTTAATGTATGAAACTTATGAAATTAAAAACAAACTACTCTAAATCTATTTTTACATAGATGAATACATTTAAATATAATATTTAATAAATTAAGAATAAACCTCAACATAGAAAGATATAGGATTCCTCATGGCTCACTCGTGGAAGATCGGATATCTTTTCCTCGCTCCTTCGTCGCTCGGTTTTTCAGTAACCCGCTTGGAAAAGATATCCTTATCTTCCACTCGGAGCCATGAAGAATCCTCTATATATTCTGTCATGTGCGTATGCCCATTCAGCTATTGAGTATGACGTAAAAGAAAAAGTTACAAAATCAAGTTTCATAATGACGTCTGTGGTGATACCTGTGGTATCATTGATTCTCTCGACCTATTACCTTCATATATACCAGGATTTAGGTGTATTATATTCAGTGACTTACGAATTCCGTCATTTCGGCAGATCGGCACTGTGTTAGCGAAGGAGACCCAGTCGGCCTTTGAGCCGCCGGCCGCGTCCCAGGGACCGGCGGCCGCCACTCCGCATCAGAAGCGGCGGTTTGTTCCGCCAACACCTCCGACTCCGGCCACGGGCGGCGCTGGGACCCCGTCCGCCGCCCCTGCTGCCGCCGCTGCTGCCGCCCCTCCTGCCACCCCTGCCGCCCCTGCCGCTCCCGCTACTCCAGCCTCCAGAGTAGTTCCTGCTGCAGCCGCGATACCTCCGAGCCCGGCCTCCTCCCGGCCGTCGGAGTCGGAGTGGCTGTCCGGCTCGGAGGCCAAACGGCGGCGCCGGGACCCAGAGCAGACCGGCTCATCCACGCTGGAGGCTGCCGTCGGGCCGGCGCCGCCCAGTCTGGAGATGCTGGCCGCGACCACCCCCGTCACGCGCAGGTGAGCGATGGGCTCATGTGGTGGATAATGATCGCTGGTAGACGGTGCTGGACAGTGACGAAATCCGCTGAGTAAACACGATATATTCCTTTAAGTGTATCGTGTAACTGTGAACTGTGAAGTTAGTACCAGATAAAGCTAGTGGTGATTTTGTTGGGTAGTATAGGATTTTTCCGGATAATTGGAACTAGTGGTGGATGGTGAGGATTGAGGAACCCTAGTGGATGAAGTTTAGCTGGCTACTTGTTGACCCCACCCCCCCCCCTTGTCCACTGAGTATCGGAAACTTGTAGGTCGTTTATTGAAACTTTTTGCGTGAACTCCGTCCAGACGCCGTATAAGTACTACCAGCGGTATAGGTGAAGCGTGCCATTTTGTAGCTATTTTGCGTAAATTGCTCTGTACGACTCCCCGCCACCTTCCCCAGGTCCCGGGACCCGCCTGCCGAGGAGCCGCAGCCGCTGTTCAAGAAGCCCCGGCTCTCCGAGACCGCCCGGCCGCGCTCCACATCTGCCACCGATGAGGACCTGTTTGAATTTGACCTGGAGTCGGGCCACCGGCCTGCACGCCCGGCCCGGGTCCCGGCTCCAGCGTCACCTGCGCCGGCGACTACGTCTGCCCCCGCGGCCGCATCCAATATCAAAAGGTGAGGCAAACGACAGGTTCTATTATGCATCAAACTGAACTAATGACATGTGAATATGCTCTGGTCGCTGGTATCAGAGATTGAAATGTCGTTTTTTTTATTTTGCTCTCCGTATCCATGCGTTTGCTTGAATCCAACCTCGGCATTTGACAGCCCGTCTGTTATCTCTACCCACCCCCAGGGGCCCCTCGCCGGTGCCGGAAACGCCTGCCTCCCGGGAGCCGAACGCCAGTTCGTCAGGTCAGCAACAACGGACAGCTGTGGTAAAGACGGAGCCACCGGGGGACGATGACGGCTGGATCAGCTCCTGCCGCCGGACGGGGCCGCCCCCGCCCCCGACCCCGCCCGCAGAAGACGCAACAGTGACGCCGCCGAAACGGGATAAGGTGAGTTGAAGAAGGGGGGGGGGGGGCGACGGCGCTGTCTTAGTGTAGGCGCTGTCAACGGGGTGGAAATGTGCTGTATGTAGATTTAGTTACAACTGAGATGGGATGAGTGAATTACGTTTGTTGATTGTTATCAATATGTTTTTGAATCTTGTGATAGTTCGGCTGTGTTCTATATGAATACTTTTTTTCTGATATTCTTATTAAATTGCTGGTGCACTCGTCATAACGCTTTGCTTGCTAACATTACTACACTGAATTTTTTTTATTCGATCGAGTTAACACTGCTCACTGTATGCACGCACATTTGGAGCTGTATTTCAATGTAGTCGCCTCGTGTACCGCCAGATGTCAGTGACGGAGGACGGCGACGCCTCAAGCCTGGTCCACAGCTGTATTCGGCTACAGATCTCCGACCTCATCTGTCCCCGGAGGCCGCAAACGGACTCGACTGCCGCCGACACTTCGATCAGCGGGCCCAACTTCAAACGATTCAAAAGGGTAGGTGTGATCAAAGAACGCTGGGAGCTTCAGCTGTCAGAGCAACGTGTATCTACAAATTGTTCGATGGCTCCGGTTCTTGTAAGTTATATTGTCTGTGGGTGAACATTGAATATATGCTACAATGAGTGACTCCTCGCATTTAGAAGCTTATTTGTGACTTTTCCCGATTTCTAAGGGCTGCAGTGACTGGTAATCTCTCGGAACAGTTCTGGGACATGGTCCGGACTAACGCTCGCCTTCGTCACCTTTGCCCGCTTGTCCTTGCAGCCCTTCCCCGTTAGTCCGCCAACCTAACGGCGTGATCGGAGACCTCACTTGCCCCTCCCTCTGGTTCCAGTCGCGGCAGGCGCCGCTGTGTCCGCGGATTATCGGCGGCTCCGACCTGTACGTCGGCAGCCGACCGCGCTCGGCGGCGCCGATGACCAACGGGGCTGGCCGGCCCACCAACGGTCTGGGACGGCACGACGCGTCAGACGGGGAGGATGATCTTCCAGGCGACGAGGTGGGTCACTGACGGGCCGCGATCGGGAGGGGATTAGAAGGGATTACTTGTGCTGGTGTGTTTGTGCATGGTTTATTAACTCGAAGTTCACTGCATGACTAATGACATGCGGGATTTGATAAATATGTGTTGTGACTTGTCAGCAGAAACTGCGAGGGAACGTGCCAGTGAAATCGCAAACTATTTTTTAACTGGTGGTAAGCGGGGCCGAAACAACTTTGGCTGGACCGCTCAATACCATAGAATAAGCTGTACCGGGGGAACAGTAGCACACAAGTGATGGTTATTCAAGAGAGCTCTTTCACGTCGACTGCTGCTGGAAAGCTGTCAGGAGAATCTGTGAAGTGTGACCTTATAATGACTATGTGACACTGAAAAGTAACTAGCGCGCTAGAATCGCCTCGGATGCGCTGTCTACGTCATCCAGACATCAGTGATGATCGTTTTGATGATGCGCGGTCGGTCGGGGGTCACACGCGCCGCGCGCTGTCGTCGGTGCCGATCGTCTCGACAGCGCTGCCAGCCGGCCCTGCACAGCTGCATCAGGTAGATGGCCACGAACTCGACCATTTCCACGCAGGTTAGCAGGCTGGCGCCGACGAACAGGCCCATCGAGCCCCCGATGTCGGCTAGCAGACTGGTGAAGGTGTACGCCTTCCGCTGACTGACTAGCTCCTCGTCAAACGCCGAAAAGAACACGTTCAGCTCGAGGAAGTTGTCCTGGATGAACTGATGGTGGGATTCGGTCTGTTGAAGGAACTCGGCGGCGTCAGTCTGCGCCAGCTGCAGCGCGTCCAGGAGAGTGCGCAGAGCCGCCGACAGCTGCTCCAGAGAGCGCTGTGTGCCGCGCTCCAGAGTCTGTGTCACCGTTATGTTAAAGTGGTACAGCTGCCGCAGTGTGCTGCTGGTGGCGTTCTCCAGGATCGAGCGACTGAAGCTGTTGGTGCGCGTTGTGGCCAGCAGGTGACTGAGACTCGTGTCCACCGATTTACGAGTCAGCGGCAGCGTGGCGGTCTTGGTCAGCAGGCCGGTGCGGGTGTTTTGAAGTGCCGACACGGCGTCACTGATGCGTCTGGACGTGAAGAACTCTGACAGCTGGAGTTTGGTGACGCGGCCGGCCCAGAACTCGGCCAGCTCTGTCCGGAGCAGCTCGGACAGCTCCCCGGCGTCAGTCTGGGTGGTATTGAGTGTCTCCGTTAGGTCGATGGTGTGGCTGAACTCCTGCAGGCGGCTGGCGAGCTCGGCGCCGCGCGCGTCCACCTCTCGCTCGAGCTCGCTCTGCACGGCGCTCACCAGGTACTGGTGTCGGAGCAGTGAGGCCAGCCGGTCGGCCGCCGTCGCTGCCGCCTCAGTCGTCTCGGCCAGCCGGTCTCCGAGCGGCGGCAACAGAGCCGGGTCGTCCTCCAGCGCGCCCTCCAGGGCAGAAAGGGCCCCGCGGACGGTGGACAGAGCTTCGGCAGCCGCCGAGTGACGCTCGTTAATGCGAGTCATGACGTCGGCGTACTGCGGCAGGCGGCGCAGCACGCCGTACCGGCCTGGGTAGCGCACTGTGGACCGATTGTGCACCTCGGCCAGACAGGCGGACATCTGTTCCACCGTGCCGCGGCCGAACGCCAGCCGCGTGCGGGCCGGCGCGGCGGCGGCCGGCCGCGCCTCTGCTGGGACCGCCGCCAGCCCGGCCGCCGCGGTCGGTATCTCGTACCGTCCGAGAGTGACAAGGGCCGAGCGACTGGCGTCCACCAGCCGCGCGCACGGCTCCACCGCTTCAGAAACGATGAAGGACTCGTAGGCGCCTTTGAGGATGCGCGTCACCTGCAGCAGCACGTCCAACTGGTGCCAGAGACCGTCGAAGGTGCTGCTGAACTCCTGGACGGTGACTTGCGCGCGGTCGAAGCAGGCGTCCAGGGCGGCCTGGAAGCCGGTCAGGGCGGCTGTGATACGCTCCGTTAGTCGCCGGCGGCGCCGCACCCGCTCCGGGGCCAGCCGTTCGTGTGTGTTGAGGCTGTGGAGGAAGCGGCGTCGCGCCGCCTTGTACTCGGCTGGGTGACCGGCCACCACGCTAGGCGTGTTCCGGTAGGATAGTTTGGAGTAGGTGACACTGGCGTCGAACCGCTGGCTGTGACACGACTCTGGGCAGCGGCACTGGCGGCCGGCGGCGTGGTAGTGGTCGGGCGCCGGTAGCGCGCAGAGGAGCCAGTCCCGCAGGCTGCAGAGCGGCGGGGCGCCGCCGGCCCCGGCCGGCAGGTACACGTCCCGGCACTGACACTGCTCCACCATGTGCTCGAACATACAGTCCATCTCGCAGCCGGCCTTGGAGTAGCGCCGGTAGAAGCGCAGAGGCCGCTCGCCGCAGCGGCCGTGCGGCGGTCGGATACCCGAGCGAGTGCGCAGGCGCAGCGCCGCGTCCGCCTTGAAGCCGACCGGCACGTAGAAGCCGGCGTTCTGCATTAGCGCCGGCTGCTGCTGGTGGTGGGCCAACACCTTCACTCCGGCCGTCATCTCGGGGCCGCGCACGTACTCGTACTGCTCGACGTTGAGCACCAGGCGGAGTCCGAACTTTGAGCCGCTGCGCCGCGACACTAGCGGTGCCGCCGCGTGCGAGTTGAACGTGTAGCACAGGCCGTAATCGGTGAACGTGCGCTCAAAGTGCTCCGCGCCGCAGTTGTTGTGCTGGCCATGCCAGCTGCAGCTGAACACCAGGTGACGGCGCCGGTGGGACCAAAAGGACAGGTAGAACTCCAGGTCGCCGTCCGTCAGCGGGCCGAACGTTCGGTTGACGTCTGCCTCAGTGAGCGGCTGGTGCGGGTCCCAGTAGGTGCGCCAGAAGTGGTAGGTGCTGGTGTTAGCCAGCGCCGAGAGCCGCAGCCAGTTCTGGTTGCACACCGTCACCGCCGGGAACGTGAGCTGTCGCCGGCTGGCCGACTCGATATCCACCGTCACCGGGTTCGAGTAGAAGAACTGCACGCGCTGGCTGATCTGCGCCGTGGCCATGGCCAGGCTGAAGGCGGTGAGCAGCAGCCAGACGAGCCGCTGCGGCCGCCAGCGGCTGGTCTCCGGCAGCAGGCGGCCGGCGCCGTGCAGAGAGGTGAGGTCCAGCCACCGGTGGAGCGCGTCCCGCGCCGGAGCCGGAGCCGGAGCCGGAGCCCGGAGCAGCTCCTCTCCGACCGGCGGTCCGGGACGGGGCATCCTGGTGAGGACGGACGCGGCGCCGGTCTGTCTCCTCGGCACGGCAGGGCGAGGCCGAGCTGGCCAAAAAGTTCCACCGCCACCGGAGGCACAGTGTAGATCAAAGTGTGGGAGATATAAAACAGATTTGTGGCTCCCGTCATATGAGATCGGTTAAGTAAACGGTTCAAAAAAGATCAAAGACACCATGGATGGCTTGTTCTCTCGTATGTCGGTCTTCTTCAAATCGATGAGACCGAATCCGAACGGTACCAAAACAAGTCTCGCATACAAGCCGAAATGCTTCTGTAGCAGACACCCTGTAGTTTTACAGGTCAGATAATGCGGTAGGCGGTGACGCACGATTTTGAAACTTTGGCTGACGGTGCGGGAAAACGTGCACCAACAGTCGCCGTCTTGAAGCAAACCATGCTCAGCAAACCTGCTATTTTAGCTCGATCACTGACCAGAGGGAATGGCAGTGTCAAATAAAGTGGGGCTTTGTTATTCGGTGATAGATGACCTGTTTGGATCTCCTTTACTGTGCCGTGACTGTTTGTCCTTACTCCTTTCGTCTTCCGTCCCGGTCAGCGGCTTAGTATGTGATTTGTGTCGCGCACAAATTTACTAGTAGAATATGATGCCCTTTATGCCTGACAGTGGATGATACGTATTACACGGTAGGTACTGTTTACTTTGAGCAGCGTACGCGTTCAAAACACATCGTGTTGCCGCTCGCTATGTTCCTATGTTTTCCTCTTCTGTTCTTTGACTTTGTCTACGGTAGTGTTTTATGCCGTTCACCGGATCGTTGGTTGTTTCTCAAACCACGGGTTATAGCGTCTCAGCTTTTCGCAAACAACTTCCCTGTGTCTATACTCTATACCATGTTCGTAAGCGTCCATCTGAAACGCTTCCCGGGTCCACGTTTCTTCCATACGGTGTTCATTGTCCGAGTTGAGGTCAGCCGATGTCCAAATGTCCATGACAATCCCATGTCCATGCCACTCCCGTGCTCATTTTACAGTGATATACCCATACGTGCCCGCTAAACCCGTTCCGCATTCGTGTATCCCGTCCTTTGCTCATGTTGTGACCGCTAATGACAATCACCCGACTAAATATTTAACGTTCACATTCTGTGTGTCCGGCAGCCGCGTCAGGACGACGATGACGACATGTTCCGACTGCTGGACAGCGTCGGTCGTAACAGGAATGCCCGTCGTCGGTAGTGGACCACTGACTTTTGAGGCGCCGCGCCTGGGGCGGTTTCCGGGTCAACGTTATCGCAGGGGCAAGTGCATCTCACGTCAGTAAGGTACCCGGTGAGTTTTGTTGCGCGTTAAGTCATCCGGGATGTCCGAGGCAGGGACGTACGTTTGTAGAAGGAGAGGGAGCCTGAGCTTAGCTTCATTTCGAGTTTGTAATGCTGTACCTTGCTCCTGTGAATGTGATGAGATTGGTGGTTAAGCTGGCCAGTCCGGTCGCTGGCTACGAACAGAGCTGTGATTGGGGTGTGCGAGATCGGCTGGAAGGATTTGGCCGTGCGATGGTTTGTTGTCAGTAGTACGGGCGACAGAAGACTGTGTTACACACACCCGTGCGTAGGGTCGTGTGTGCGTATGGTGCAAGACTATCTCGGGTACACTGCCAGGAAGAGAAACCGCTACAGAGGGTTCAGCGCCCGTTTCTCGTCCCCTTGTCGAATCCGTTGCATGTCAGATACAGACTGATTACAGAACGGTTGGTTCCTAGAAATACACGCCGTTATCATCGAGCCCGAGGTTGTTCGGAGAATCGTCGATCCGAGCTGTCAATGCAGCTGGTGTTCGATTTTTGATCTGTCGTCACCGGTCGGCAGCAAAACTCAGTCTAGATGAGCTTGAGGTAATGTATTTCGTCTAGTGATATTCAAAACACGTAGCTGATGGGTCTCGGCGGCGCGGCCGTACACAGCAGATGCCGCTCACGGGCTGCGGAAACAGAACAGCGAGTGACGAGCGCCCCAGCCAGTCACAGACACCTATAGACCGCGCGCGAGCCGACCCCACCACACCGACGGGCGGGGCGCCAGCTGCCCACCGGAGTATGAGGATTGAGTCGATTATCACACGACTCCCGGCGGCCCAGATCGCTACACCCCCCCCCCCCCCCCGAGATCACCCATCCCCCCACCGGATGGCACGTGCGAGCGGCCAACCTCCGACCACATATAACCGCTGCCGGGACCGGATTCAATCGGCAGCACGGCCGCGTCCACATATAGCGCCGATGGCACACTGACCGGTCCGGCGCACGGCGTCAAGAGCGGCGTCAGGTACGCTGGAGACCACACCGGCGCGCCGCGGAATGAGATGAGTTGGCCGGGTGGCGAGCTGGCCGAGCCTGGTCGGGTCGCCGACCGACGACAGCCGCCACCCGAGACATTGAGCGCCCAGACAAACACCAACAAACAGCGCACATACGCACAGAGTACAACGCGCAAGGAGCGGCAAAACAACCAACAAATTATTGTCCTGTAAAGCTAATACGATGCGAAAGACCAACTTCCCACGCATTCACACCGGCGTGAGATCAACGAATATGCCGGCAGTTTGTGAGTGGATGTGTGCGCGAAGCTGTATAAGCGTATGCTACAATGGAAGAATGCATGAACGCACGCATGCCTTCCACACTGGCGCACATACCGACACACACAGCGAGCGCGATTGGCCCGGCCGACCCGGCGCGGCGCGGGACAGACCGGAGGGCGGGCCGTTTGTACTGTCCGGCCCGGCGGCCGCTACACGGATATCTCGTAGCCGGCGTCTGCGGTGCGCCGCGCGCGAGGCGGCCGGCCCGGCGGCGCGGCCCAGTAGCGCGGCTCGCCGGCCGGCGGCGGCGGCGGCTCCCCGGCCAGGCCGCTGGCGGTGGTGCGCGGTGCGCCGCTGTAGATGGTCGGCGGCAGGCCGTCCGTGTGCGGGAACCGGCGGCCGCCGCACGGCGTGCCCGGCTGGGAGCGGCGCGCCGGACTGATGTACAGCGGCGGACTGGCCGGCCAGACCAGCGGCGCCGCGCCGTCCGGCGAGCACGCCGACTCGGGCGTCTGACTGCGCGATCGGCGACCGTCCCTGCCAAGTGCCATGGATAGTCACATTAGGGGTGGTGAGAGAAAAATGATGGCATCCGTCCCTCCGACGCAGCACACACGAACCGATCAACAGAGCGCACAGACACCCTGTGCTCGTCCTTACGACAAACAAACACGAACGGCATGAGTGAAGACACACTGATGCCCCGCGATGACTCTATCCTCCGCCTTACCTGGCATGTTGGGCGCGCGGCAGCGTAGCGTGCGTGCGTCCGTGCGTCGGCGGCGGCCTCCTTTCCAGGGAGCCGGCCGTGCCGGCCGGTCCGGTGCCGCCGCCACCACACGAGCGCCGGCCTCCAGAGACCACGCTGGCCCGCGAGGCACTGTGCGGCAGCGGCGGCGACGGCTCACAGTCGCGCGACTGAGACATGCCAGCGTCCTGGTCGGCGTCGCGCAGGTCAGCCGCCTGGGGATGAAAATTAAAGGTCACGGCCGAAACCAAGCATGTTCGGTTGATACATGGCCAATCGGTTCTTCTCATCGGCAAGCGCGCGACCGATGGGACAAATGGGCGATATCACCCCCTCTGCGGTACAGATGGAGACAGACATTACTGACGTAAGAGATTCTATGATACTGCAAGGCAAAAAGGTGAAACTTGCTTTCTCAGATCCACACGAATTTGATTTAAAAAAGTTGCTTTCTTTATTTATCTACAGGGTGTAACGAAATTATCCGGACATCTATTTTTTCGCCATATCTGAGGCCTGTTTCACTAACAAATAAAACTTGTATTTACAAAGAAAAAGCTTGAGTTTTCAAGAAATAATTACCAACATTTGAGATTTGGATTTCACGAAACCTTTGAATATGAATTTTGAGTTTAAAATTTGCAAACTTTTTTACAAGAAAAGGTTTGCTAGAAAACATGGGAATCGCAAACTTTCTGTTTCACGAAGACCAGAAACTTGAAAGAAAACATCGTAATTACAAACCTGAAATTCCAGTGGTCCTGACGTTCGGAATTTTGATACTTTTTGTGCAATAATGCAAAACAGTCATATATTTAGAACAACTATGCTTTGTTGAGTCGTTTCATGCTCAATTTTTACTTAGCACACACCCTAAGAAGCAAAATAATCGGTATTAAAATATCGACATGTTTTGTCATTCGCGCGCCATAATTGCATTCAACAGTCTTCTGCCGTCAAATGTTTTGCGTGTTATTTTCTTTCAATAATAGGATAATGTGAACTATCATTTATATCTTTTTCCAACAGCATCATTATTTATAATTTAATTAGGCAGCTTTTGACATGAATACTAGACAATATTTGATACAAAGAAGCAATATCTTTAACATGCTATAGTTCTTGATTAAAAACAATTTTACTGTTTACAAGTTCATTTGCAAGCATTTTCTTATCGGAGGTGTCACCGGCGATGAAACTTAGTGAAATCGGTTTTTACGTAGTTGGTAAAAATACTTATGAATTGTAAACTACAAACACTTGTAAATACAAGTTTTTAGTGAAACAGGCCTTTCGCACAGCTTCTTTTCACACATGCTGAAAGAACCCGTGTATCATGGCATCCAAATTGACATTTTAGGGATCTACTAAAAAGATCACTGCCGACTTGACCAGCAAGACATCCACTCCACGCTACATCACTGAACAGCCACAGAGCTTTCCAGTCGAGGACACCGCCCATACTCACCCGGGCGGCGGCCAACCACACAATTTAGGAAGCGGGCAGTGCGCGTTAGACGGCCGTTTGGTGCCAAATGGGCAGGTGAGAGACCTCGGGCACGGCGGGCCGCGGCGGCGACAGCGGCGGTCGGGGCACTGCCTGGCGCGGCGCCGCGGCCACGGCGGACCGCGCCGGCGACGCGGTCCGCCCGGCCGGCCGGGCCGCCGAGCCGGCAGCGCGCATCTGGAACGTGCAGACGAGCGGGGCGGGGTGGGGGTGGACTGAGCGTGCGCCGCGAACAGAGGTGTCGGCTGCTCGGCCGGGTGCTGGTGGTCCCGGTCTCCACAGGCGGGGGCAGACAGACAGACAAACACAGGCAGCAGGCAGGCGACGAGGTGACGCACAGACAGCTAAGAACGACGGGCAGACGGGCACAAACAAGGCAGACGCCACAGAATGACGAGCCGTGCTGGCTGCCAGCACTCCTGTCGTCAATGCTTGTAAGCAGACAAAACATAAGACTGAACAAATGACAAATCTTCACGTTCCGGAGCTGAACATGAAGGGAACGAAACAAATGGTGCACACCGGTTAACTGAACGAAGCAAATAAATGCAAACGACCACAAACACGTGCTGTTGAAAGAATGCAGGCACTTAACGCTGAAACTCAACTTCCACAACTGCAAAGGCTGGATATTGGACAAGTTTACGCTCGAGGATTAAAATTGAAGCAAAAAGGAAAACTTTCCAAGCGAACAACTTCACAAAAAGCGCTGCTTTTAGCTCCGGGCATTGTTCATCGCATCAAGAAGTGCGTAGCCCCGAAGCAGCAATCAAAACTCAAACAAGTTACAGGAAACCAACGGCCAATAATAGCCTGGCCCAAACGTATGGGAGATGGCGCGGACGACCGACAGAACGAGCGTCTGTCGGCCATCCAGACCCACGAACAACACACCAGTTCTGCCTTCCGGTCCCCACCGGTGGCAGTTTCGCGGCCAATCGTAATCCTCATATCTCCCCAGGCAAAATACCGACAAAGGACACCAGGCACTGCGCCGTGTCAATGCAACACAGGCGGCACAACAAACCTCACACACCCACATGCATCGGTATCGAGTGCATTGTTAGGAATCCAACTTAGTCGTCCAGACATACAGCTAAACTCCCCACACAGACCGAAACACATGCTCACAGTTCCCGAATCGCTCGGCTCGATCTGTGGCGTGCCGACGCGTGCAGTGATCGGCGGGGAGGAGGGCGGCCATGCGTGGCGTGCCCCGAGCTCGTACCTGACGTACCTGCGTGTAGCGGGCGGCATGGCCTTTGCCCCGTACACCGTTACCGTTGTCGATATACAGCTTGACCTGGTGGTCGGCGGCGACAGCCGGCGGCAGCTGCGGCGACGTGGGCAGCGTGTACTGGTGCCTCCGCCGCTGGGCGCGCCGCGCCAGCGCCATCACACTGCGGCACAGAGAGCGCCGGTTAGCTGACACAAACCACACCGGCCAGACAGTCTGACAGTACACATAGCCGCACTGGTTAGACGGTCACACGGCTCGCATAAAGTCGCACAGGTCAGGTCAGACGGGTCAAATGGAACCAGTCACATACCAGCGACACAGCCCGGTTCGATGATAGCCCGTTACGGACCGATTTCCCACCACACTAATCACAGACCACGCTGATTGAATGGAAATGGGAGCCACTGCGCTTCTCAGACCGAAACCCTAGTCCCTATTGCAGCGACAATAGCTTTGAAAGCGCGTCAGAAAACGCGCGTCAAAATACTCTTACGACACACACTGCATTAATTCCACCGCAACACTAAAAGGCACGATCGACGTTCACAGAACAGGCAATGTGTCGCAATATTACAAAATACAAACTTTGGAAATACCCTGTTCTCACTCAAGAAGCTGTGCAGTGTGTGGCGCTCGGGGTACTGTGCGATACGTCATACGTGCGGTATGCGGTACTCACTCTGGGTACTGTACAGAACTTGGTACACTCGGGGGGCAGATGATGTTCCACCACTCCCTACCTATCGGGCTCCCATGGCTCAGCACTGGCTGCTGCCAGTGGCAGCACTGGCAGCACTGGCACTGGCAGGCAGTGCTGACCAGTGCTGAGAGCAGGCAACACTGGCAGCAGCCAGTGCGGGAGCCATGGGAGCCCGATGGGTAGGGAGTGGTGGAACATCAATCTGCCCCCGAGTGTACTCACTCGGGTACTGTGCGGTACCCGGTACTCACTTGGGGTACCTACTGTTCGGTACTCGGTACTCACTCGGGGTACTGTACGGTACTCGGTACTCACTCGGGTACTGTGCGTTACGCGGTACTCACTCGGGTACTGTGCGTTACGCGGTACTCACTCGGGGTACAGTACGGTACTCGGTACTCACTCGGGTACTGTGCGGTACCCGGTACTCACTTGGGGTACCTACTGTTCGGTACTCGGTACTCACTCGGGCACTGTGCGTTACGCGGTACTCACTCTGGGTACAGTACGGTACTGGGTTCTCACTCAGGATACTGCACGGTACTTGGTACCCACTCGGGGTACTGTTCGGTACTTGATACTCACTCTGGGTACTGTACGGTATTCGGTACTCACTCAGGGTACCTACTGTACACGCAGTACTCGGTACTCAATCGGGGTACCTACTGTACTAACGGTACCCGGTACTCACTCGGGGTACTGTGGCGCCCAGAGGGTGCGGCAGAAGTTGGCGCCGCAGCCGCGCGAGAACGGGTTGAACCCGCCGCGGAACTTGCCCGTGACCTGCTCGTTGGTAGTGCGGCCGCGACTGGCCAGCACCGTGTGGAAGCCGGCCAGACCCATGATGGGGACAAACAGCAGGCCGATCACCACCATCACCGCCAGACTGAGGGGCCACAGTCAAGGAAAAACGCGACGCTATGATGGGAGCAAGTGACACCGGTAGACGCAGAGGCCACAGTCCAGGAGACCCAAGGCGCGGAGGGGAGCATGTAATATACAGACGGACGTAGGTAGTATCACAGATATGGCAAATATATACTACTCGTTTACAGAGATATGCCTAAGACGTGCATGCAGTGATGCGTGAGCTCGCAATTTGTTAATTGAGTGTAACTTTAACCAGCACATGATCTGAAGGGTCGCTACTTATTTTTAAGAAAAAAAAAATAGGTAGTTAGCGATGGTATAAAACTAAAACCATTTTATGGACGGCAGCCATTTTGTCACCCCATACAGCGAAAGGAAGAAAATTAACTATTCAAATATGATTGTAACAATTATATACGAGAAAAGGACAGCATGACGCCGAACTAGAGTTGGACTTCTGGTGGCGACTGGCACCTGTCAGAAATTCCGGCTCCTGAGCTAATCCCACCGCCCGCGCCGGGCAGCCGGTACCGGTGAGCCGACCTCGTGAGCGATCTCTTATCGTTCCGGAAATACGCCAGCACCGCACCGCGTGCCCGGCGTGGCAGAGCCCATGAGCCAGCAGGACACGGCAAGGCTGGAGCCCTCGTATGGTGGTTCACTAGCCACGCTGGCAGGAAACCATTGCAGAGCTCTAATTGCCTGTTGTATTCTGTTGGTTTGTTTATTGGGACTTAAGGATGCGCCGACTACAAAGGTCATTTTGCGCCCTATTCTATATTCCGTATTCTGTATTTGTATTAGCCGACTACAGGCCTTGAAGTCCATTTACAACGGCAGTCATAGATAAAACTAGGTGACAAAGCAGGTAGAACGGCAAATTTCGAAAACCGCTGGAGACAACCCAGCCAGTAGCGGCGGAACACCTTCCATTAAGGGGGCACTGCCGACAATAAACCGAACCTTCTCGTATTGTAGAACTACAGGTAGGTAGATATTACTGAGCGAGACATAACCTCAGTTTGCTTTACCCGGCCTAAAACGTGAAAAATAGGCACACAGATTCGGGGAGTACAACCGAGTGTGATCTAACAGAACCAACAAAAACACCAGCAATGATAAAATGGCACCCAAGGGTACCTCTACACCAGAGTTGGCAGGGGGTGGCAAAAACTGGTTTTTGCCAGTGGTTTTAACCGGTTTAAACCGGCTGGCAGAAACCCTGGTGGCAAGAACTGGCAAAAACTGGCTAAAACTCAGATGGCCAAACCTACAACTTTTCTAGTTAGGAATGGATTTGAAATGTACAAATGCATTTCTGGTAGTTATATAGATGCACTAAACATTCTGAAGCTGCCTCATTACTTATCCCTGCTTAAAATGTCTATGCATCTCAGTAGACATCCACAACGGAATGTATTTCCATGCAGGGGAGAGTGGGGCAAGACGACCACGGTAAGTAGGGTGCCATGCGGTGCCATGCGCATATCAGTGGCAGGTACCCCTTCGTACTTCTGATTGTGCAGGACGCACCCAGTCACCCTTGCACTGGCTCATTTGCCACCCCCAAAAGGCATCTTACTTGACTTACTAGCTCCTTATGGAAAGCCCTTGAAAATGTTTCTGAGTTATGAAGCATTTCAATGGTCAATGTCACTTCTGTTTGAAAGCATAAAGCTTTCACCGAATTCTCCTTAAAATTTTTCATGTTCAAATTCATGTCCAGGCATAGCATTGTGATATTTCTTAGTTTTTGCCAATTTTTGCCACTTTCTGCCGGTTAAAACCGGTTTAAACCGGCAGATGGCATAAACTAGTTTTTGCCGGCAAAAATGCCAACCCTGCTCTACACTCTACAGCCAGCACGTCTAGCTACAGTACATCCCCTGACATTGCAAGACGATTCTCTACCCCGCTCCCTCCCCCATTCCTTACCCCGCAAACACACAGCCGATGGAAAAGAATGAGGAGCCAATGGAAAAGAATGAGGAATGAGGAAAAAAGAATGAGTGTCAGTCCAACAGTCTGTCCATCCGTCCATCCGCCGGCGTATCTCTGCCGTGCAAAGGCAAAAACCCTTATGTCGGGTCAGAGGCCATTACCTCAGGTCAAAGGTCACCCGATCATAATGGGTTTTGCCTTTATACGGCAGATCTGCCGTCCGGTTCATAAAGGATACGTTGCGATGACGTCGACCGATCCGAGCTCGTGCCTCCTGTCCAGCACGAACACCAGGCACTGGCCGAAGATGGCCACCATGTGCAGCGTCAGCGACAGCAGGAACAGGAAGAAGAACCGGTAGTTTCGCCGGCCGATACAGTTGTTTACCCACGGACAGTGGTGGTCGAACGTCTGCCGGCGGAACACGGACTGTCAGCGCCCGTGTCGGCAGCGGCGGGGTGTCGTGCCGATCGTACCACGATCACTTCCAACGGGCGTGGTCGGTCGGGAAGTGGTCAAATAATTAAAAAAAAAAAATAAAGAGCCCAATAAATTGTGTAATATTGTTACATTATCAATCATATCCTGAAACAGCGCAGCATTAATCTCTCACATTTTACCATTTTACTTATCTATATCTCAGAGGTTGTTATTGACACCCCTTACAGCCAAATCGATCCACCTTCATATGTGTTTCATCAGCTGAACTAAAGGATACACACCCAACCCGACGCCCACCGTGTCTTCAGACCTTATCAATAGTCACCTCTGTAGGTACAGTGTACAACAGTTAGGCACGGAACGAGCTCCAATACAAGCTCAGTCAGCACTGTACAGTGTACAGAAGTTAGACACTGCAGGGGCACTAATGCTCATTGCTCACCTCTATACAGTGGTTGCAGACACTGCAGTGGGAGCAGCGCGGCGGCCTGTAAAACTGGCACGTTGCGCACCATTTCATGCGCACTGTGATGCCGCTTATTTCCACGTTCTTGTATAGCGGCATCCGGAAGTCGTCATCCCGGTCTTCGTCGGATGACGCTGCTCCGCGAGGGAACGAGAAAACCATCACATAAAAATCAGCACATCCACTGTATATTTGAAAATAGGTAGATTGTCATCTTAACATTGCATAACAACCAAGTAACAATAGGACAGGCCTGATATTCAGTCCATTGGCTCTAGTTTTCACATTAACCCGCGCCCAGGTGGGCCTCTCAGCCAACTTCACCATGGTGGAGTGTGGGGGGAGGGGGTGCATTTTGGCCACACCACGTTATCTTGGGAAGTAAGCAAACTAGAAAGAAACGGTAAAAAAGCACTGGATAGCTCGCTATGAGTTCTTTCAGAATTATGAAGGTCGTTTTCAATCTCGCTGAGGTCACTGGAGGTCACCAAAGATAAAATCATCGCGACTTTTTGTTCTCGATTTTGACAGCCTTTCACAAAGAGGCGCCTAAGTCGGCAGCAATAGAGCTATAGCGCCGTGGAAAAGCGCATTCGATAGCTCTTTCATATGCCTTTCTGAATATTGTTCTCAGCTTTGACCGAAGGTCAACGGTTTAGTCTCCAGAGTGCAAAAACTCAAAATTGGATGTTTTGCGGAAAAAAAGTTTTTCTGTATAAGTTTTGACTCCAAGCTTGTATAACGCTGATTATACCGGCATCGCGTTTGTCTCGTTGAAACGCGTTGAATAAGCCATAGTTGACCTGGAAAGGTCAGCTTAAAAATTTGACCTCAGGTCAAGGTCACAGAAAAAGTCATGTTGCATATCATTCGATTCGTATTGTTGAGCTAAACACATCCATGGTGTGTTTTCAGCGCTCCAGCATGTTTCTATCAAAAGTCTGTCAAAAACCGTTTTTCATGATCCGAGATGACCTGAGAGCAAAAACGGGGTCACAGGTGCGTTTTCTATTCAGTGTGTCATATTCACATGTGTTCCGATGTCTGCGGGTGTTTTCAGACATAAGAAAAGCATTTAAATTTTTCACATTGACTTATGGAGAGGTCACAAAGTTGACCTGACCTTAAGTCACCGATACAAAAATTCCGGGATATACAAATTGTTGGCACTGATTCCCTCATGCAATAGCCAGAGTTTCAGACTTCTAGGATGTAAGCGCAGGAATGAATGAATTACAAAGTTTTTTAAGAGGCATGGCCACTTAAGTTGACCCGGTGACCTGGGCCCTGTTTCACCGGTGATAGCAGCACGTTACTATCAAATTGCGCGAGCTGACGTGATGTGATGACGTCATACTGCTGACGTAAGGGGCAATTCTGGCGCACGATTGCCGCAATATTGTTTTACGTCATCAACTAAATGTTCGAAGTTTACGTCCAAATTTTCCTTAAACCCAACTTCTTTTAAATACATCATATTTAAAAAAATATATATTAAAAATAAATATACTATAATGACTGCGTAAACTCTTACTATTAGTCTCATACGTCACTTAATGCCGCGGCCAGGGTCGCGGCCATCGTGCGCCGGAACTGCCCATAACGTCAGCAGTATGGCGTCATGACATGACGTCAGCTCGCGGAACGTGATAGCAGCGTGCTGCTATCACCGGTGAAACAGGGCCCTGAACTTGTGTGACCTGGGGTCAAAAGTTTTACACACGATGCAAAACTGACGTATCATAAGCTGTACCAAATATCGTGGCGCTGCGCGCTGCAGTTTTCTTTACACACACAAAAACTGGCCCGAGCGCTGTTCGGCAGCCGGCTATTTTGTGTGCAGGGTATGACGTATTTCGCGAGCCGACGTCACAGGCGGTGACGTCGGCTCGCGCGCGAGCCGAGCGCCAACGACAAACTAACGGGAACCCTCGGACACCCTCGGGGCATAAACCGCGGAGTAGCATATTGAGCGAGTCTTACAAGGAAAATTCATATATTTTCGTTTCTCAAATGATAATCAGGGTGTCTCTTACCTTTTTACATATCATTTAGGCTTACCTAACACTTCAGTTGCCAAATATCTGCAATTTATTCAAGCGAAGGTATTTTCAGTAAATATCAATGGTATAGACCGAAATCTTTTGAATAAAAACTCCAACCAACAGAAATAAAAATAACTTAAGTTATTCTAACCATTTCCTCCAAATAAACAACATAAAAACTCACTTTTACACACATCATTCATAATAAAGCATACTAACACGCCGCTTTTGACAATTGCGGCGTCGAGTGGCGCCGCTAAAACCGGTTTAACGTAAGACTTGCTGCCCGGCGAAAATTGCCGGAGTAACTGCCCCCTGCTCGGGTATGGCACTAGGCCGACCGAGCAAAAAAAAAAAAGCTCTTTTTCGATCGCAGAGACCCTGCACGCGCGCGAGCACACTACGTCACGTCCGGGGGGCACAGGTATATGAAAAATCGCAGTGACGTAACACTTTTCTCGCTTCTTATTGGTCAATAGCCCGTTGCCGGGGTAACGTGCACGTATGTGAGCGCGGGCAAGAGTACTAGCCGGCCGCCGATCAGGGCTAGGTGTGGCCAAAAACGCCCCCCTCCCCCACATACACACTCGGGTAAAGGTCAAGTCACACCATGACAGGATACACTTACTTCTTATTTTACCAATCAGGTGGTATTGAAGGGGTGTTGAAGTTGGAATCATCCACAGATACAGATTGTTTACAAGTTGCAAGCACTGATTAAGATAAAAATAACAACTTATGTGGATAATAACTTAAAGGCACCAGTTCCAAATACAAATAATAATGATGAATATGAGCAAACTACTTTCCAAAGGCTTGCATAGATGCACCCATGCAAAACTTATTTTAGTCAATAGGTATACTAACCCATAATAAACATCAAATAAAAGTGCAGAACTCAAGGGTTAATATTTAATGAGAGGAATGCAAAAAGGATGAATAACTCACCTCTCGGAACAATGCCTGGATTCATGAAGGTAGCCAGTGAAAAGTTTGCTATGACAAAAAAAGAAAGGATACCCTGACACAAAGGTATGACAAAGCCCCAAGGGTAAAGTTTCACCAGAAGCCACTGGCACCTGCAACAGACAGACATCAAATGATCACTGATAAGTCAGTCACATTGGCTAGGTTACTGTTAGGTTAGTTTAGGTTTGGTTAGCTTTAAAACAATTCACATCACTTTCATGCTCTTATGAATTGGTTGGATTTCAACATCAATGTCACTTAAAGACAACAAATAGCTATGAATAAAGCCTAGGCTACACTATGCGTGGCCATCCAGAAAGTGTGTACGGCTCTTGCAAGATTAAGTGGTAGGTTTTGCACTTTTACATTTCCGGTTATACCTATCTCAGAAACTAATCGATCTACGATGAAGCCATTTTTCACGATCGTGGCCGGCTTGTGAACCAACAAGTCGATCGCATCTTCAACACTTAAAAGCTTAAGACTACGGAGATATAGCCCGAAGTACAACAAATTTTATAGGTGCAAAACCTACTGCTAAAACCAGCGAGACCTGTACATATGTGCCTGTTCTTTGTTTCAATGCTTGCAGGATTTAAGTGATGTCAGTTTCTGCTTTTCAGAATTTCCCAGGAATAAGTATCAGAAATGAATTCAGTAGGTCTTAGAATATCTTGTGAACTTTCTCCTCCTGTCTGACACAAGCATGCAGATTCTGAAAAATTTCAGACTTCTGAACTTAACCCGCGCCGGGCCGGGGGGTGTTTGAACACCCCCCCCCCCTGCGGTTTTTCGCAGATATCTCAAAAACGGCGGCGCTCCGCGCCGCCGTTTTTGGCACACCTGTTCGTGCATCTTTTCCGCACATGTTGTGAAAATATCAGACCCAGGTCGCCTTAGGTCAGGTCACCAAGTCACGCCAAGTGACCTCACCTCAGAAAAAATAGGAATGCTCGTCATAGCTACACCGATTGATCGATTGCCTTGAAACTTTCAGCGATTGATAAGAGCAACTATATCTATAAAATGTATATCTCGGAATTTTGATATCGGTGACCTAAGGTCAGGTCAATTTTGCGGCCTCTCCATTATAAGTCAATGGGAGAAAAATGAAAAGCGTCTGTTTTGCACGAACGCCATTCTAGACACTCTCAAACATCGAGATATAGGTACAACTGACACACTGAACCGGAAAATGGCAACTGTGACCCCTCGTTATGTCCCCGAGGTCATCTCAGGTCACGAACAGAATCTATCAGTTTTTCGCTAATAACTTCTGATAGAGGCGTGCTAGAGCGCTGAAAACGCCTTAGATGTGTTCGGCTCGACGTTGCGGATCGACTGATATGCAACATGACCTTTTCCGGTCAGGTCATGACCTTGACCTGAGGTCAAATTTTCAAGTTGACCTTTCAAGGTCAAATTATAGTTCATTCGACGCGTCTCGACGAGAGGAACACGATGCTGGCAAAAGTAATGTAATGGCTCTTTTAAGTCGAAATCTATTGCCAAAAAACCGGTTTTCGTAAAAATGGTTATTTTTGGAGTTTTTGCCCTCTGGAGGCTAAACCGTTGACCTGAGGTCAAATCTGAGAACATTAATCAGAAAGTTCTGTAAAAGGGCTGTCGAATGCGCTTTTCCGCGGCGCTTTAGCTCTATCGGTTCCCGAGATAGCCGTTGGCAGTTTCCAAAATGTTGAAATAGTCAACATTTTACCTTTGGTGACCTCTGGTGACCTGACCTTTAGGTATAGGTATAGGTATAGGTATAGGTATAGGTTCAGTGGACTAGGATTAGACGATGGTCTATTTGATGTCCACATCGGTCATAGGTCATTAACCGTGGTTAAAGGCAATTACTCAGGAATGGTTGTGGCCCAGTGCTGGTCTAGTCTGTTCTTGAAGCTGTCGACAGTTTCAGCTTCGATCACACCTTGCGGCAGAGAGTTCCAGTGCTGCACACTGCGTCTTGAGAAGGTCATTGCTCTTGGTTTGTGTCTGGCTCTCTTTACTTTCAGTTTCTTGCTATGTCCTCTTGTTCATTCATCTTTGTTTTCTTCGAAGAACTTATTGAAATCGAGTCTAGTCATCCCTTTCATGATTTTGAAAAGCAGTATCAGATCCCCTCTTCGTAACCTCTTTTTCATGTCATATATCTTCAGCCGCTCTAGTCGCTCCTCGTAGGGTACATTCTTCAGCCCTCGTTCCAATTTGGTTGCTCTGCGCTGGATCTTGTCGAGTTCTTTGAAGTCTTGGGCCATGTAGGGACCAACTGCTTGCATGCAGTATTCTAGGTGAGGCCGCACATATGTTGTGTATAACACCTTGAAGCTGTTTCTGTCAAAATTGACAAAAGCTCTTTTCATCCTTCTAAGTGCCGCTGCTGCTTTGTTGGCCGCCTGATGACAATGCAATGTTGGTTTCAAGTTGCTCTCCACTAACACTCCCAACTCCCAAGTCTTTCTCCTGTTCTGTTGTCTTCAATTGGTGTATAAGTCCATCCCGAGGTAGGGTGTAGCTGGCCCTTTGGTTCGTTCGACCACAATGCATCACCTTGCATTTGTCCACATTGAAATGAAGCATCCAATCCTCGGACCATCTGGACAGTACGTTTGGGTCATCCTGCAGTGCCTTCGTGTCCTCATCCCCTTTGACCTGACCCAAAAAATGACCGATATATTTTCGTCCTTATTTTAGACGTTCTTTTGATTGGCGCTTACCACGTGTCGCTACGTGGCCAAGGAGCCGAGTTAGATGGGGGGGGTTCAGACACACACACACACACACACACACACACACACACCCAGCGCGGAATCTCAGAGCACCGGGCCGGCGCGGGTTAATGTGTGGACAATCCAGACTATCCACCATTTCCTGGACTGAATGTGACTTCCTTGACTGAGCGTGTGTGACCCACAGTATGGCTCAGAGTAGCAAAGCAGTGTGTTTCCATTGGCTGACCTTGATCTGCGTACCAATGCCCTCCTGCAAAACCTGACAAATTGCAGGACACACACGATTTCCTGGAGGATCACGGGTAGTGTACCTTGGGCTCCAGGCTCCATAGCTCAGGTTGGTGTACTGTCCAAGAGGTGTTTTAGCATCAAATTTTCCAGTGTTTGATGGCAAGATGTTGCAGCTAATTTGCAGAAAATGTTAGATAAGTGCATAATAGCATGTTGTGATACCAATTCAAATTACCTACTTTCATCTTACCACAACAATTAAAACACTAAGGCCGATGCTCATGCCCCCAGCCTCAATATGTACAAGCTAAAACAAGGCAATATAAACATACTTACGGGTAATAGAAATAGATTCCTGTACATCCTAACAGCAGCGACCATGCAACTGTTGCTGGAACAAACTTTGTTGATGGCTTGCATCTTGACATTTTCTTCCAAATAACTCACGCTAAGGCATCAGCCATATCACCTTGAGCCCGCCGTTTGAGTAACTAGTAAATATATGTCAGGAGGCTACAAAATTTAAAACATCGAGAACGCCCCAATCACTCTGAGACGCGACGAAAAACTCATTTACAACACGGAATTTTCAAAACAGCCAAGCACACCACGAAAGAGATCAAGGTTAACAAAAATTATATCTTTTACATTTCCTGATTGTTTCAATGACGTCATGAAAATTTTAACCATCTAATTTAGCCATATTTTTATAGAAAATATACGAAACGTCGTATAAAAACGTTTTATATATATTAAACCCTCCCCTGTAATGGTGTTTTGCCAGCCGCTCAAAGGAAATAGTTCACTTTTAATATGGTGGTTTTGAACAGTAATAGCAGTTTTGTAGCTTGAGCTGAGACTAGCGCAAATCAAAAGCGTTTACGGCCCAACGATCACCCGACCTGGTCTAAATACATGAAGACATCATCTGTGATCAAAACTAACATGATATTCGTGATCAGCACCCCGAAAAACCACATGGCAGCCACGCTTTGCCACCACACTTTCTAACAGGTCCCGATTTCCCCAAATTTTTGGTCATTGACCTGACCTGGAAGGTCAACCAATGACCTAGAAACTTGAAATGGGTATCATTGGCGTGTTGCTCGTTACGAGCAACACGCTCGTTTTTTCCGCGAAGCCCTATCTCGATCAGGGGCGAAACGGCAAGGGAGTGAGCAGCGGACCCCCCTCCCCTCATACGTTCGCGGTTGGCAAAACTCCAATATGGGCGAGGGTTAGCTCAGGGCCTCAGGGCCTCAGGGGTACTGCAAGATTCGTCTCGATGAGCTGCTTTTTGCGCGACACATTTGTGAAAAACCGAAGGGGTCCGTTCGACCCCATATAATGTGCGAGGGTTAATTTACGCATATACACATAAATGTAAACCGAGCACGAATTTTGTATGGACAACGGAGCAATATCATATTCAATAGCAATAAAGCCGCTCTCACCATGCAGCGCCATAGGGCTAATGAATTGGTAGGGCTGGATGGGGTCTGCGAAGTCTATGGAAAACATCACGCAGGAGCCATGCTTTGCATCACCTTTGCTAAAGCAAGGCCACGTCCCAAGGACACGTATTTTGGTGTTATATTATACTGAGCGAAAGACGTTCGCTGCACAATGCCGTTGGTTCCGTTCGCGTACCTATTGGCATACAGTGTACAATTATCTATGAGCCTTCAGGGTTCGCTTATCGTGCCTAAATTAGGCGTGACCAGAGAGTGACTCATTTTGTGTTGCTAGCCGTAGCCCATACATGTACACAGATAGGCATAGATGGAAGTTTGTGCCCAGCTGAGGGTGCCCGAGCTCTCCTAATTCCACGCCAGCTTGGCTTTGGAGCCGCAATAGACGGCGCATGACAAGGTCATCGCTAGGGTAGCGGGGGATTTGTCGCGCCTTGGCTTCCCCACCCCGGCACAACGCTCCAAATTCCACCTATATGAGATGCAGTGATGTATGTAGGTAAGTACTGTAGGTAGGTAGATACCGTACATAGGCATACATACCTACGCGGTAGGGTGTCCCAAGCATACATGGGAAAAACAAAACTATGAAATATTCAAGGGGCTGAAGTTTGCCCCGGTTCCACTACCGGTAAGGAAGACACTGGTCGAGTTTCAGAGGAATCAGAGTATATTTAGAGGTTGCGAGCTTGTGCACTTTTTAACTGAGCAAACCCCATTCCATAATATGTGTAGGTATATACCGATTGAACAAGCATGACAAGTCAGGGCATTTAGACAATTTTACAGCAGAAGGTAGCACTGCACTATCTATGAAACACTTTCTTTGTCTATCCATCCTTGATTTTCTTGGGCTGCGCCTGCTGATGGTGATGCACTAGCTGAAGCAGGTATTGCTTCTGCTCTTCTGACTTGGTGGTGGTGTTGTACCGCTAGATAAGCGAGATTCCCCGTTCGGCGGCATCATTGACGATATTAAGAGCCCTTGCTCTATGGCTGACCATGTGACAGGCTGCGTCGTCTTTCCTTAAACTCCTTGGTTTAATTCGCGATGAAACCTGGGTCCACCACCAGAGTCGTCAGCAGGAACATGGATGGACCAGGAGGTTACAAAGTCTTCGAGAGGAATGCCAATGCTGCTTCAACATGGCGGCAATTGGAGATCGTCATATTCCGTCTCAGCCTAGGCAGTAGGACCGTAAGAGGGACGACGAGCTGGTCAGAGAAGCAGCCGGCTTCCCGCAGGAGGTGCCGGCAGAAGCAAAGGCCATCACAAGTGCCGGAGCAGGGGCGGCTGCAACTGCTTGACGCATGACATGGCCAGACTCCTTCTTCAAGAGGATCTGGGGAGACCGGATGCCGACCTCCACCTCAGTCTCTGGCGTAAGCAAGGGCTAGGCGGTGGATGCCTATCGGCATCAACTACGTGCTGGATACTGCAGTAGGTATGTCGTACCAGTACATCCACCGGATCGGCCGCCTCCCGGCGCGGACCTGCCCAGTGCCCAGGGTGTCCCGACCTGCGGTACTCAGCGGTGAGGTGCGCTGTTTGCAAGGAGACGACACACCTGACCATATCCTGATCCGGTGTATGTGCCTGGACGATCTTCATCTTAAGTTAACCGGCAACAAAGATGCGACCGAGACGCAGCTGCAGAGAAGGGAAGTGGTCGCGGCCTTGCCCGCGACTTCAGGCACCATCAGGAGCCTAACGATGGTTTCTGGAATGATGCTCGTCGATGGTCGCCTTGCGGACAGTTTGAAGATGAAAATTGTGGCCAACCTCCGGAAACCACCAAAGAAACAGCTGAAACGACTGGAGGGAAAAAGTGCGAACGATTCTGTCCCGTCTGAATCATGCCATGCATGCGATCCTAGTAGCCATGTTAAAATGCACCTACGAAGAGATAAAAATGTTCATTTGCTCGCAACCTCTAAACGTACTCGGATTCACTTGAAATTTTGTCAGCATCATATCCCAGCCAAGTGGAATGGGGGCAGCCTTCAGCCAGGGCTGAAAAAAGTTTTTCGGTGGTTGTCGTCCAAAGGCAAACGGGCTTATTTGGTTGTCAACTCAAGATGTCTAACCCGCGCCCCGCTGAGGGTCCTTGATTTCGACGCACTGCTCGGGAGGGGGGGGGGGTCAGACACCCGCCCTTTTAACCCTATTAGTGGCAGGGGGGTTGTTTTCATCCACCCCTCAGGTTTTTCGGGAATATCTCCGAAACCGCTGAAGCTACGATGCTGAAATTTTCTGACTTTTCCTAAAACTTAATTGGGCACATTCCCTGAAAATTTCAAGTTCATAACTTTACCAGGGGCGGCTCCAGAGCACTGGGAATCGGGGGGTCCTTTTCGTGAGGCGAGTCATTTGGGCGAAGATCACGATGCTGATGTATTATAACTGTATGCACCAGTTTTACGAACAGTGAATGAAAGGTATCATGTGATAACATATACAAAGTTATTGTGCATCCTCTTTTGACACGTTTTTGCTATAATAGGCGGATCCAGGCGTCCAAAAAGGGGGGTTATGTTTTACCTCCCAACATAGGTGCCCTGACACCGCCTATGCATGACCAATACAATTGTAGTCGTTCTCTCATAAGAAAATTGTAACATAACAAGACCATTACCACCCTTTTTAGAAACAGTACCAACAAAAACCTTATTTACTATACTTTTTGTGTACCCCCAATCTCAATGATCTGTATCCGCCTATGATTTTTGAAAATGCATATTTTTAGGATCCATGTGAATTCCTGGTTCATTCTCTATCGATCGGCAAAAGTTGCGTTAAGATTGGTTCAAAAACCTGACCGTGATAAACAGTCTAAAATGTGTCTGCAATTTACCCGTTTTTACCCCCCTCTACCCCCCTATTGACATTTTTGTAATTTTTATTTTGTAGAAATGTAGATCACGTTGAGCGAAATCGAATGCCGTTTGAATTTTGAAAATCGGCCCGTTAGATCTCGAGATATCAAGGGGGGGTCGTAAACAGCCCCCCCCCCCTGCCACTAATAGGGGTAGCCAGGAGCCTGCCACTAATAGTGTTAACTCGGATACTGGGTCACGTAGTGACAAGCAGTAAACGGCATTCGAAAGAACGTCTTAAATAAGGGCGAAAATGTGACATTTATTTTTTAGGCTAAGTCAAAAGTCAGGTCACCAGAGGTCATTAAATGAAAGATATTGCCTTCTTAGTGCTTGTGCAAGGAGCATTTGTACTTTAAAATACTTTGTGAATAACCTCTCCTTGAAATTGTATGTAGGATATATTTTACAAAAAGTCAAATACAGAAATGATAAATTTTCGATCACGGATCTTTGTCAAATCACATTCAAAATTCAAAATGATATATTTTTGTAAAATATATCCTACATACGATTTCAAGGAGAGGTCATTCACAAAGTATTTGAAAGATATTGCCTTTCAATTTTTTTATAACACCGGACGCACAACTCGGGAGCCAACCTCTATATAGAGCTATACAGCGCCGCGGAAAATATTTGACCCTTTTGACCCTTTCGGTGACCCTTCGATAGTGCGACTGGTCGACTTCTCTCACCTTTGAACAAAACGTGCTCAGGTTGGTACACTTCAGTCGTGCAGACGCCACGGACCCTGCGTGCGAATATATTATAATTCCCCTCCTTTTTGTTCGCGCAGGGCGCTCAGCCGTCAGGCTCAATTGCCCGACGATCCGTGTCCCTCGACCTCGGAAGTCCTTTATCCTCGTGGGCATGACATGGCGTGCCCTCCCCTCGGCCTCATCAAAACATTACCGGCGTCCGGCACTGACACGGTCCCACTCAAGATGTCCCGCCGCGGACCTACCCTCAGGCGCCACCGGGGTGGGTTTTGACGTCACAAAAGGAGCCCCGGCGGATTGGAGGGGACGCTAACTGGCCGCCGGGCGGGGGCGGCGCTGAAGGGTGCGGGCAGGGGCCGGCCGAGTCCTGGAATGTACTAGATTTGCCAGACACGTGTTGCCAGCGGACAACCACGGCGACCACTTGGTATGCCATTGGTCGTCTTTATGAGGGTCGCCGATCGGCCGTCCGAACGATGGTCGAACGACGCAGTATATAC